ATAGTCGATTGAGGACTCGTAATGTCCTTGTAGGTTCTCGATCGATTGTTCGTTTAATCGCCGCGACCTACATCCCCTAGTTTACCTTGATGACACCATTTGAAACGGTTCACTTGGAAGCCGAATTGGAACTACACACGAAATCACGAGAGAAATCGATCCCCGTAGCGACGAGGACGTTGGAGGCCATGTTTCGCCACCTTCCTAGAAAGAGGAAATGAAAATATTAGCGTCCCGAAGACACGCCGCCCTACAAGCGTGTCAGTAGGCCAATTGTCGGCGTCATTGTCATAGGGATAATCCAGATGTTAATAACAGCTTCCCAGGAAGTGCCGATGGTACAGCAAATCGAGGCGATGAACTTCTCGATGATTTGACATTCAATGATACCGACGTGCCTCGCATGCGGCATAATCCGCTAACCCCGTTTCACTGTGGGATGTACGGATCCACCTTCAATAATGTACCATTGGTAGGCCAATTTCCTCTGCTAATATAACCTATGCGACCATAAATTTCCAGTTGCTTCGTGCCCGGTCGTTTAATGAACGCTGATAAATTGATCGGGGATTACGAGCGCGAGAAGCGACCTGCCACCGATTACGAGGGACCGGAAAACCACGAATCGGCAACAATTCTCGAACGAAACGACCCCTCATGTCCTGCGAAATAAAATACCATTAGATTTAATGCTGAAATAAATTAAGGTGACACGAAAGGATCATTCTACGTATATAAACCGTCAAAATATGTATAAGACTTTCCTCCAAACTGGATGCACCGGATCGATAAAATAAATTTTTTTACTTATCCTAGAACCAGGAATACATATTTTTCTTTGGAAAAATGAAATTTCACGAGCAGCCAGGTTTTTCCTCGGGGCCTCCATAATCCCGTGGGCCCAGTTTGGCGAAAAGTTTTTTCATTATTTTGACTTATATATAGAATGACTCTTTCGTATCACCTTTACTCCATAAAATAATGGTATCAGAATCGTGATTAAGTCTGAACCGAGCAGTTTGAAGATCAAGATCCCGAGGTCGGTCTGGGGATTCTCGTCCAGAGTGATGATTTAAGCTGTTTTGCCTTTTAGCTAGCCAGAATCTCCGCTTAAGTGGCTCCTGAATTTGTGGAGGCGAGTAAAGTCTCTCGGTCTGTAAACAGAGAGTCGTAACGAAGCGATATGGATGATTTCCGCGATGAGTCCTTTCTTCTGTCCCGGACCGGTCCGATCGGTCCTGGCTTTAAGGTGCGTGGATATAATGCAGGCTTTCGAGCCGAGCTACTCTCTCAAAGTCTCGCGAGTTTTGACAGGTCAGTAACTCCTGAAATATTTATGTCTTCCCGAGCTATTCTTGCCGCCATGTTACGGATATTTCGGGCTAATGTTGGGTAACCCCCGAGCGACTTTTGTTGCTTTCCCCCTAATTGTACCGATTCCGTTCTAAAGATACTAACGCGAAATCCAAGTCGCGGTTAGCTCTCATTGATACCATTCGTCTCCGTCTCAGTCTCTGGAGCCCCCAAAGTTGCCCAGGGGTTACTTGGAGCGATGCAAGTTCGCCATTTTATAGCCTGGTCTTTTATCCACCGAAAGGGCCTTCTACACTTGATAATTACTGCCCCGAGACTCCGCCGAGCGGCCCTATTTATTGGTAGTAAATTACACGGGGAGAGCTAAAAGGTGAAAAGGAAAAGTAACGCGGATGGAGGAATGTCGGGTTGCACTCCGAGCTACTCTCGAGACGAAACGTAACCACATGGGCGGTTATATTAGAACCGGGAGATTCATGGCTTAGCGTTATGTTACGGGCAATTGAAGCGGCAGACTCTCGTCCAACTAATTATCGAACTCGTTTTTCGCCCGCGATTAATCTTGGGGATAGTTTGCGCTAACGAATCCGAGTACGAGGAAACCCTCGTTACGTTATGCTCGAAACCTGACAAGTATCCGCGGTAACTAAATGCCCATTAGTCCATGAAAAATTGAAGATACGACGCCGAGTCATGGCTGCCACTAGATTCCTGGAACGGCTTTTTCGATTTATCAAGAGCCCGCGGATTTTTTCAGACCAAAATTCTCGCTTCCACCGATGCCGCACAATTTCGAGAAACGTAGGGTGACGTTTAAAGTCGGGAAAGGCGACAACGCCTAAATTCGTCGCCTCATTTTGGCACGGCGTGCACTTGTTAGCCACGGTATTTCAACTTTTCGACACACGTCAAATATTGGGTTACCCCGCCAGACTTTAAGGTCGTACCAAACCCGATTCCATTTACCCCTGACCGAGCGGAGAGGCGGAGTGTTATGTTAGTAACCCGACCCGAACCTGACAACGAGGAGAAAAAACTGGACCTCTCGGTAGCACAAAAAAATCATTCTATATTTGTGCCCACGATGCATGCCCGAGTCTAGTGCATCGACATTCCTCCCTCCAGACTCCCTAATTAGCCCCCTCCTATTATTCGTATTATTTATATCTCACCGATGTCGGGGATCCCCAAAGTGCTAAAAACCGAGAGAAATTCTGTTATCCATATACCATCGCATTAGGTATGGACGACGTTCCTTCAGACCTCAAGGTATTAAAAAACTGTATATTTACCAAAAAGTGAAAATATTTGTAAAACTCTTCTGCAAACAGGGTGCACCAAATAATTTGGAATTTTAACACATGACTATGAAGGTCCTGATGCAGGTCTTGACACTGGCGAAATTTCATTTTTCGAGGAGAAATCTTGTATTCATCCCGGACAAGAACGAAGAAAAGAAATTCTTTTCGAGAAATTAAATCCCGTGAGTTTCAAGACCTTCGTTAGAGCCTCCACAACCACGTGGTGAAGTTTCGAAATATTCGGTGCACCCAGTTTGCAGTAAAGTTTTATATTTCCACGTTTCGATATATATATAGAATGACCCTTTCATATCACCTTAAGTCACTAAACGATGTCTCGTGTGGGGTCCCAGCCACTGAGCATTTATCCTGTTAATCCTGCAGGATCCCAAATATCACGTACCGAGGATTAGTCCCGAGAGAAGGCGGACAAACCATCTTCCCTTGGTTAATATCTGCCTTTAGTCTCAGCCGGAGCTCGCCCTAATAAGTAATCGTTACGATTAAATATCCTGAAATATGAATCTCCCCGGATTTGTCGGGATTACTGGCGGTTTGTCTTACTGTACGGTTTAAAGCTTTTCCACGAGACACCAGCGAGGCTTTTATCAAGCCGAAATACGGCCCTTTGAAAAGAAATATCCCCGGAGAACCCCATTTCCCGAAAACCCGGTACAAGGGGAAGTTGCCTTTTAACGAAAATGGCGTCTCGCGGAGAAATGCAAATACCGCTGTATCGATTGGCCAGAGAGAATGGCGCCTCGTTAAATATTCAGGGACCCGATTGAATGAATTTGAATTTTTAAGCTTCTTTCGTTGATACCCATATCGATGTCTACCCTGTCGATGGAAGTCTCTGTGGGGGGATTTTTCTGACTTACAGTTACAGAATTTTTCGCCGATTCGGATATCGAACACTCCTATTACCCTTGAGGACGTCGGAAGTACCGAAACGTTCGTGGCTAAATTCTAAATTGGAGGAAAAAATGGGGATTAAAATTCCTCGCCTATTTTAGAGGACAATTCATATCGGAAGCGTAATTCACTGGTTTTCTACGATTTTCCACGGTAAACTCCTTGGTTTACGTATTATACGTCGAAAATCTCGAAAAATGCGAAATTGCCCAACTCTGACCGATGTACGAAATTGGAGAAACGGTGAGAAAGCTTTTTGTTTTCTTTGGGCGTCAATGAGTCATCGGGCAGAGTCGGTTGCAGGTCGTTTTAAAGGACCTCTCGCTGTTCCTGCTCCAGTTACAGTGGGTCGATGGAAACAGGAGTAACTGCAAACCAGCTGTACCCATTTCTGTTTATCTTAGGACAATATTGACTTCCCAGTAGAGAAGATTCTCACACTTGACAGGCCATGATACCGTAATAAGTAACCCTCTCCCGCGCTAATATCGAGTAGCCTCGTTCTTGGAATACTCTACGAGGAGTAATAGCGAAACTCTGTACTTGGGACCGTATCCAAATGATTTTTTATCCACGGCTCTCATACGTCTTGTTCTTTAGGTCTGTCCAGGATCAAGGGCCGGGCGTTAGAAAGTCCTAAAATAATATTACGTAAACATGGGAGGCGGTAGATCATAGATGCAACTGAAGCCGCTAAAATAAACACACTCCGACATAACACCTCTTGTAAGATGTCGTTAAGTGAAGGAGCGTGCAGTTTTAGAGGCATTCACGAGGGATTTATGAGGCGGAATACATAACGAATTAATGCGGCGATTCGCGAGAAAATGTCTCTGCATTGTAACGACGCTTTTGATCGTTGATTTACGTGCCGTACGAAAGTACCAAGAGGACGAGAGACTTGTAAAGAAGCAAGTTGGACGGAAGGAAGGACAGTACATACTTGGAACGATAATAAGCAATGATGCTTTCCGGGATTTCCCCCTCATTTGTATGTAATTTAAGCACCGAAGAACTTCAACCTACCTAGGGATTGTATAAATTAAAATTTTGATTGTCGAGTTGAGCACGCCCATTAACCGGGATTTGAAACGGGCGCGCGGGGCGCCATCGCGCGGCCATCTTGAGAACGCGTTCCGTTGGTACAACGTTGCCTTCGGATAATGCAGGGCAGAGGCCCTTGATAAAGTAGGATCATTCCTTTCGCCTGCATCAGCGCCATCTAGGGAAAACTGACCCACACATCTCGCCTGCACAAGCAGAGATGAGTTGGGAGATTGCTCACGGACAGGGTCGAGCAATCGCGTTCTGTGCTACCCTCGGTGAAGAATGTGGGCGGCTTGTGCACTTATCACCTGATTCCCCAGTGTCGTCTCAATTCAAAACGGATTTATTCTAGGAACTTTAGTAGCTTAGTAAGCTCGGGTGCACTTTAAGCGACAGATTGTTCTTAGTGTTTAATGTTTGGCATTACTGTCGTGAATTATCGTAAACACTTTTGAAGGACATAAAGGCATAAGAAGGTCACAGGGCAACCGACAAGAACCGTTGATTTAACATTGATATCAGAACTTAATTTATCTATAGTAGTAAGACTGCCGTTCAATTAAAACAAAATCATGGGGCGCAAATTCTTTGTTGGTGGCAACTGGAAAATGAATGGAGTGAAACAAGAGATAGACGAAATCGTTGCATTCTTGAAGGCCGGGCCTCTCGATCCTAATGTGGGTACGTGCAGCTTCTCTTATAGATTCGTTAAATCAAGTAAAATATACATGCAAAGAAATAATTATATATTTAATAATTAATCATATTTTGTATACTTCAGAGGTTGTCGTTGGAGTCCCATCTATTTATTTAACATACACAAAGAGTATTTTGCCTAACAATGTTAATATTAGTGCTCAGAACTGTTATAAAGTTCCAAAAGGAGCTTTTACCGGTGAAATTAGTCCTGTCATGCTTGTGGATAATGGAATACCGTGGGTAATTTTGGGCCATTCCGAGCGTAGGAATGTATTTGGTGAAGGTGACGAACTAATTGCTGAAAAAGTGGCGCATGCTCTGGAAGCTGGAATAAAGGTAACATTTTTAATTGAATTATATAAAGTCAGATGGAAAATAACGAATTTTTTATTTACAAGGTCATTGCTTGTATCGGTGAAAAACTAGAGGAACGGGAGGCTGGAAAGACGGAAGAAGTAGTTTTCAGACAAACTAAAGCAATTGCGGATAAAATTAAGTCATGGGACAATGTAGTGCTGGCTTATGAGCCAGTTTGGGCAATTGGAACTGGAAAAACTGCAACTCCTGAGCAAGCACAGGAAGTTCATGATAAATTGCGACACTGGCTAGCCGAAACTGTCAGTCCTCAAGTCTCAGAATCCCTACGAATCATTTATGGCGGGTCGGTCACTGCTGGGAATGCTAAAGAACTGGCGAAAGAGAAAGACATAGATGGCTTCCTAGTCGGAGGAGCGTCTTTGAAGCCAGACTTTGTACAAATCGTGAATGCAAAACAGTGATTCAATTACTTTCTCAAAATTATTTTCATGATGAAAACATTCTGTAAAAACGGTATGACGCTACAATATTCGTCGTTCATCTATCAGTCGCTAAGTGCTCAAAATGTTTAATCTATTATTCTTTTGTGCCGATAGGTGCAAAACTGAATAATATGTATGATTATATGTGTGTATATATATATATTTCTGGTAAAGTTGAAACCGTTGTTGATTATTACATATGTACAATTATTGCAGTTTGCCACGAGTCATTAATATTACAAATGGATGTTTGTAAAATAATGCAAGATAAAATTCGATATTCATTTATTGACTTAGAAAATTAAGCTGCTTTAAAGCTATTAGGTCTAATACATCCTAACATATACCAGAATTCACTTAAGCATCCCTCTTGTTACAACTCCAGTTGGTGTGTCTAAATCTTTTATGGAATTCAGTCCATCGCTTTTTGCTTTGAACCATGCAAGTTTCGTTAATGCCCTAAATGTGCGTGGTTCCCAAATCGCCAAGTCGGCTAAGACCTTTCGATTTAAAAAAATATTCAGTCTATACAGTCCTTCAAGTAAGGTCCTAGACCCTAATCCGTGCTCTTCGGTGCCTGCTGCTATTCTGGTCTCCCAAAGCTGTATGCATTAAAAACAATAATAACATACTTTTAACTATTTTATTTTTATTTTTAAACTTACATTACGCATATCCTCCTTCAATAATTTTCGTCCTCGGGTAACATATAAAAGAGCTCTGTGAACATTCCGAATAGCGATACTGTAGCAATTCCTCCTACGGCCTATATAATGCTGTAACATTTAAATTATGCACAGTATAGAATTAAATGATACCAAAATCTTACTACGTAACAAATACCAATGTATCATACCGCAGAAAGTTTGAATATCTTTCGTTTCCGCCAGAATTCATCCGGCCCTCTGGATCTTGCAAAAAGAGTTAACGACTGATAAACCATAATTATCTGCAATCACTGAACAAAATAATTAAGACGTCCCGATGTATTCCACAATAAATTCATATAAATGTACGCAACTTCGTTAGGAATTTTGAGGTTGGAAATTGATATCGATCAATCTACTTGCATCCAAATGCTTGCTTATTGCTGGCAAATAAATTAACTAACAATCCAACAGCGTCTCAAATCGTGGGAGAGAAGTGGAACAGAAGTGTATAGAAACGCCGGTATCCTGCTATGACAAAGAACGCATGTTACCTATCACGTAACACTAGAAAACTAAGGCCGCATTTCCATGAACGCGTGGGATGTCACACAGGGCGCAGCGCGTCAACGATCGTAGTGAAAACCCAATCAGTATTGCCGTTATCTCCGTGCAGTGTTGCCAACTATCTGTTTATTCTAGTACGGTCGTATCCGGTACAATAAAAAAAATAGTACAAATTAAAAAGCTTCAAATATGTTAATAAAAATTTTGCCTGTATTTAAAAAGGAAAGGGACCATGATTCAACACATTAAACAATTAATAATATTAAACTACAAATGAATATCGAAGAGTTTAATTTAATTAAATCGGAGCATCGAAGTGCAACGCTTAATGCCCTTGCGTCACGTGTACTCCTCATGACTTTTTAATCTCAGGGTCGAGGGTTCGAATCCCACGTGGGTGATATTTTTTTTTACCTCATGTATATCATTCAATGCATTACTTGCAATCATGAAATAAAAATGAAAAGTATCCCTTTCGCAACGAGTGCCTTAATTTCGACACGAGCCCGAGGCTCTGCAGACGCGAGACACTCACGCGAGCTGTATTTACGTAAACATTAGCTGTCCAAACTGAAAACAATTGAAATGTCACCGAGTAACAAGTCCAGGAATGTTCTTACAAGAATTACCAGGGTTTACATCCGCCTCGCAAACGGCCGAGCGGTCTCAGGACTTCGTGAGTGGACGCGCTCGGTTTTGCTCGGTTTTCCTGGCCGCTCTGTCTTCTGTGGTGAAAGTAACAACCGCTCGTGCTATTTCGAAAGGCACGCGGCGTTGCCGTTTCCTCAGCGAGGCAAATCCAAACAGACCCGGCCCTATCTTTTTGCACGTGGTATTTCTGCGGCAAAACGTTTCGCCGGCCGCTACAAATTATCCTCCAAGACTTCGGCGTCGTTCACGAACGTTCCGTCGCCTTTCTAAAACAATTGGAAGCCACTCGGGATTAGATTTATGTCAACCAGTCGCGAATAATGTCAAACTCCGCCCATAAAAAGACGCATACGAGGTATGAAAGTTGATTTTTTGCAAGTCGAGTCATTCCACTTGTAAGAGGACACTTATCAGCGTCGGTGAAAACTACGAATATCGAACCGCGAGTAATCCATACATTTCATTCATCCTAAAAATGGCTTCTCATACCTCAATTTCGCCTATTCCGTAGAACTCAATCCCGCCCTAATATCACGTCACCTAGCTTGAGCCTTCGATTCAGAAACAGCCAATCAGGAGCGAGAATCACGAACAATGCCACGACCTCATTGGGCGGCAATTGTCATTCCCAGTGATCACGAGTGTCATGGCGTCGTCTATTTCTTCGGCAATGCTCTATAAATTCCCCGACGCCGTGCCGTCGCACGTTTTTCAAACTATAGCCAATTACTTTGCGTTTTTAATTCCCATAGGCTGCATTGAATATTTATTTAAAGTGTCTGCGTTAAATATCATGATTCGTAATGAATATTCGAATTACAAGAAGCGCCAATCGATCGGCGGCGCGAAGGGGCTAATCGAATCGACGGCCTCACCGAGAAGACGACATGGCAACGGCGCGCTGCGCGAAGCCGGTTGCGCACAGCCGCGAACAGGTCGGTCGACGCTCACCCGTGATGCGCGCAGCCGCCGCAGAGGTTCGTTTCCATGTGTGGGTGATCCGTGTATACAGACACAGTGGGTAGGTGAGTAGGAACGGCACCTCGGCGAGACGGGCAAGGGGGAAGCAGAAATTTCCACGAGAGTGGGGGGACCCGTATCCCGTTCGCGCAATCTGATTGGTCGGCGCCTCCCCACTCCGCGCCAATCGCGTGACGTCTTTGTGCGCGCATCGACGGATCGCATTACGGCTAGGAATTCGCTCGTTACACCCCCATCGATTTCCCCACCCAGTCCAGCGGGAGACTCCGCTCGTCTCCCTCTCTCCGTCTCGCCCGTAAGTTACATAAAGATCCTCTCTGTCTTCTGCTACGAGAGAAATACCGCGGTATCTTGTCTTCCCCTCCGCCTCGCCTCCTGTCCTCTCAGACGAGACAAGAATTCCTCCCAAATTGGCGTAAACTTTCCAACGCCGAGCATTACCGGAAACGTTTCCGTTATTTCAGTAAATTACAAGAATTTGTCGGGATTTTCATTTTAAAATGCTAGGCCCGTTTTTACCATGTGACGTTTACCTACCGGCGATTGTCACGTGGGTCGAGAACTCGATTCGACATTCGATTTAACGCAGTAGGCCATTTTCTACCTAATTACCTAAAGTTCTTGCCGTCGTATATTATAAATCATCTTTTTTTAATGCGATATCATCTGTCGCGTGTAATTCCTAGACGTGCCCGCGATTCGGCCTCTCAGCGTAATCCCGAGGAAATTCTTGAGATTACTCGATAATTGATACGTTATTTCCAAATATTAATCTCAAAAATATCGGATATTTCCCTGGTAAAATTCATCGTGCCGCTCCAAGCCGCCATTTTTACCAGTCCACTCGTTAGACAGGAGTAGCATTCCTCAAAACATCGTTAATGTTTCGATTGAAACTCTTTTATTCAGTCATATTCACTCGGAATCGACGTTCGTTTCATTCGATTAACTACCTGTACGTGGAAACCGGGCTGGCGGTGTACTTTTCCGCGTTTCCGGTAATGTTCTCCAGGCGGTAAGATTACCGCGGTAAGATGACCTCTCTATCGTCGGATTTCGGGAGCCGCGCGTGCGCAGCGACGTCAGCGCCACCCAGCGCTGCAAGCAGTGGCGACTCTCGAGTGTGCGTGCGTCCCTCGAACTCGTCCGGACCTGCCCAGTGAATGCGAGGCTTCCGTTAAGAGGCGTGCGATACTTGGTGAACGGGACCGTCGAGGAGTTCATCGAGTGTCCGGAGGCGAGAAATTCATCACCGGGAGTCCCGAAAGTAATCGCCATGCCGCTGAGTATCGGGGTTAACCTTAGGGTTACCGGGTACTGCAACCAGGGGGGCCGTAAATACATGGAGGACATGTTCAGCGTGGCCTTCCAACAGACCTCCGACGACAAGGACCTCGAGTACGCGTTTTTCGGGATCTTCGACGGACACGGCGGCGGCGAGGCGGCCACTTTCGCCAAGGAGCACCTCATGAACATCATCGTCAAGCAGAAGAATTTCTGGAGCGACAAAGACGAGGACGTGCTTAGGGCCATTAGAGACGGATACGTGAACACGCACTATGCGATGTGGAGAGAGCTCGGTGAGTTCGCGAGGGGATTTATTTAGTCTCGCGGCAGTTTTTAGGGTGTACCGTTGCGTATTTTCAGTGTCTCGTCCCACGATAGCTCGCTATCCTGTTAGGTATTTCTCATCGTCGCTGCATCGTTCTGTTATCGTCCCGCGTATTTCCCCCACCACCGCGCTTGCTTCACGATCAGGTTAGAATTTAGGTTATGTAACGCGAAGGGATAAGTTTACGGCGCCCGCGGGAGTTTTCAATACTGAGGCGGATTCTAAGCTGCGGAGAGGATAGATGATAGTTATATGAGGTTTCCGAGACTCGAGGAAGAGTTTCGGGTACACTTTGTGCCTTGGGTGAGAGAGAATATTGCATACTTGTAAGGGTTTTTATTTTGTACTCAAACACTTCGAGCAGTAGAATTTAAAGCGATATGAAACATTGCGAGGGGTATTTCTTGATTGCTTGTTTCATTGATGATGCAGATAAGTGGCCCAGAACTGCTTCAGGATTGCCATCTACAGCAGGGACTACCGCCAGCATCGCGTTCATCAGGAAAGGCAAAATTTATATTGGGCATGTGGGAGACTCGGGTATAATCTTGGGATTTCAAGATGAAGAAGATGTGCAGTGGAAAGCTAAAGCTTTGACTAAGGATCATAAGCCTGAAAGCGGTCCCGAGATGGTACGCATTGAAAAGTCTGGGGGTAAAGTCGTCAGTAAATCTGGTGTTCCAAGAGTGGTGTGGAATCGACCTAGGATTGGACACAAAGGTCCTGTTCGCAGATCTACGCACATCGATGAAATTCCATTTCTCGCCGTAGCAAGATCTCTAGGTAATTTCGTAATCGGTTATATGATTCTTTCGTGGACTTATTAAATTCTTTTCTTGATTTCGACTGTTAACGAATACTTTCTGTATTGCAGGTGATTTGTGGAGTTACAATTCGGAATTAGATACATTTGTAGTGTCGCCAGAACCTGATGTCAAAGTAGTGGCTGTTGAAGTAAAATCCCATCGTTGCCTCATTTTTGGTACCGATGGTTTGTGGAATATGTTAACGCCACAGGGTGCAGTGTCTATAGTTCAAACAGCTGAAAGGCATAATGAAAAACATTTAATCGCTTCTCAACAAACCGGCAGTGGGGTAAATTTTCCTTAAGTTAACATTAAGAAGATTTAGGCAATATACGAATTCAAAGACAAAAGCAAAAAATATGAATCGAAGAAAACATGCATTACAATGGGTGGATATTTTTTTTCAGCAGACGGACCTTCAGTGGATCAATCCTTCTAAAAGTTTAGTAGACAGAGCGTTGGAAAGATGGTCTTCTACTGGTCTCCGAGCAGATAATACCAGTGTTATCACATTAATGCTCGATCCTCCTGGCCGATCTCGTAGCGAGGTGAACAAAAGTTATAATCAACTGAATAGTGTTTATATTTTTAAATTTATTATGCTAATGTGTTTATTTATTGTTTAGGTTTTATTGAGCCAAAAAAAAGAACAAGCTACATTGCCAAAAAAGATAATTCCTCCAATGGATGACCCTGTGTGTCACAATGTTCCTATGGATGATTCGCAGAGACCTGTACCAACTACAAGTATACCTTACTTGCCGAAACCTCCGGCATTGGAAACGCCAGAAGTCTGTGATGAAAAACAACCAGATTCGTCCGAATGTGTTGACAAGGGCTCCGTACCAGTTCCTCCTGAAACGGAGAGTCTTTCACATCAAGAGAGTGTTTCATTAACGCCTCCTCCTAGAAATGAAAATCACGAATCTAACGACATGATTCAAATGAAAGGAGGAGGAAAATCATCCAGCGGAGAAAGTATACAAGTAGCAGAAATATCCTCAAGTGATACTTCTGATGAAAATGTCACAGTGGGTGGAACCGACCCACAATTAGTGGCTGCTGAAAAATCTTTAGAAGAAAAAGTCGAAAACAGCGAGCTGCCCTCTGCGATGGATGTTAACTCTGTACATCCACCAGTATCAGAACCTGAGAAGCCTGACAGTCTTCCTGGTAAGAATACGCGGGAGGAGGACAGTCATTCTAGTACAATGCCACAAAGTGCTTCTGTGGGAACACGCGACGAACTAAAAGAACCCGTAGCTGTTCCGTTGGAGGCTCGACTAAGGAGTAGTGGTCCAGTAAAATCTGACAGTCCCTTCCCGAGGCGTAACAGTGATCTCAGAACTGGCATCTTGAGTGGGCCAAGATGCAAACACAGTTTACCGGTACAAGCTGAAAATCATCGTCCATTTACTGGTACCGATGATCGACTCACTACCAGAAAGCGCAGATATGCAGTTACTTCCAGATCTTCGACTGGCACTTTGCTTGGCGCGACTACAAGTGGCGACGACGGTGATGCACGACCCTACGTGATTTTGAGATCGACCAGGCACAAATACAGCACGAAAGCTTTGATGGAGAATAACAAGCTCGGAGAATCTCCGAGGAATGCTTCTGAGAATGAATTGTTAAACGAAGCCCAGGATGGGACCAAACAAAGGCACAAGTCTATGTCTCAAACTGCGGAGGAAGGGTATCCTATGGAACCGTATATGATTAAGCGAAGAACTCGTTCCGAGGATCGTCCTACTCCTATGGATGAGAATGGAGATCCAGCTAATCGAGCTTCCAATGATCCTCACTGCAGGCTACGTTGGCCTTCATCGGACTCATCGACGTCCTCTTCAACGTCCACCGTTACGACGACGCTCCCACCGTTGTCATCGTTAACACTTTCCAGGTAAGTTATAAGGATACAAGATAAATGTGCTTTTTATTTTAATAAAGCTGTATTATATATTTAATTTGTTTTCCTATGTTCAGGACGCAGGGAATTGTTTCTGGTCCTTCCTCCCTGGAGACTCAGAGGCTATCGTCACCGAACCCTTTCCAGAGGAGAAGCCTGGAAAAGAAAGCCACTCCGGTGAAGACCATCAGAAGGCTATCGATGAATGGTCAGAACAGAACTCACTTGCGAGGCAGCTTTGGCCTCAGGGATTGGGACCAGGGTAAACCCAACCGAGGCGATCAGGCAAGAAACAGGCGAAGCGAACCCACTCTGCCCCAAAGATGGCTACGTTCTGACACCATAGCAGCCACTCCGGTCAAGGCTCTACGTTCACGTAACGTTGAAATCCCAGGACACGCTATGTCTCCAACTCTCGCCCTGCAATTTGGGGTGAACAAGCAGAATCGTCTCTCCTTGCCGGCGAAGCTGAAGCAACAAAACGGTCCTTCGTTGTCCAACAAGATAAGAGCATCTCTATCGACGAGCAAACTTAAGCCAACCGGAGGAAGTGGTACCACCAGTGGAAATGGTTCCGGTACTGGCTGTGCTATCTCCAAGAGAGTCAAGTCGCCCTACAATCCTAGTACCAGATCGTTAAGCACACGTTCGCGCATCAAGCGCCTAGGAAAGTGAGACTGTTCTCCAGAAACTGAGGGGCTTTTGAATCCCATTGAAGATATTTGGCACTCTTCCTTAGTGCCCTCCAGTCCATGTGCTCTTCGAAGGGGGCGGTTGGCTAAAATTAGAAAAGAATCAATTTAAACTACGTTTCTCCTCCCTACGAGCATTAATCTTGAATTCCATTAACCAGCTATAAGTTATTTAATAAGAACGCACAAAAATAATATGCACCAAACATTTTGAAAACATGCTTCAATACCTTCCTTGACGGGGCTCTTTCTATGGCTCGGTTAATACTGTACATTTGTAGGTTATTTCTCATTCCTTTAATTTCAGTGAAATCAGGTTTATGGAATTTAAGGTTAATCCGGTTGAGGAATAAATGGGGTTTTTCTTATATTTTTCTGATTTTAGAATGCTGTTCTTTGGGACAGACTTCTCTTCGAGACACTTCATGTACTCTACGATCGCACATTTATGTTCCTCAGAGACTGGTAGGATGAGCTCGAGTGCAACTCTTTGGTAATCCATGAGAATCTGAAATCCGCTGATAAGTCTACTTTTCTTTTTATTTGCTAACAAGTTATTAAGTGATTCTCCCTTGGTGGATCAAATAACATTGGAACTGTAAACCTCTTTATGACAGCGAAATTGTCAAATGGAAAGTTTCTAACTCGTCTTAGTTTTAACGTCAGTTTCTCGTATCTGTTGAATCACGAAAAATGTCTCGCTTTTTAATTACTTTTTTGACAGGCTACGTAATTGTAATTACTTTCTTTAGTAGCAATCCTGTCTGTGGGTAGTCTTTTTGATGTGGCACATATTTCTATGGATTTTCCCTGAAAAGAAATTGACAACGTCGCTTTCATTGAGAACCTTTTATCGTTACTCTCTATGCATCTGCTGGAATTTGTAAATGAGATGTTATGTCCGTTAATTCATAAATGAATTATTCTGAGAGTTTACAGAAATCAATGCTGTATAGGATGTGTACGTATGTCTATAAGTCAGATTAGTCTAAAGAGTAAGAATCCGCTAAGATTGTTAGAAGGTACGAAACCACTGATTTGCCTTGACCGAACACTTTTAGAAGTCTTTTAATTTTATGCCGATGATTTATGTCAGCTGTCGGTGCATAGCAATGAGAATTCCGGTCATATTTATTCCATATTTATTGTATTCTATGGAATAAATAAGCACTAACTGATGTATTCCTTGCTCGATACATGCTGTATAACTTTGAGGTTATATTGTCTGCTTCGGCTTTGTGTTACGCAGTCGACATGTTTTTGAGTGGTATTTGTCAATATGCATTTGTGTGCACACTGTTCATTTCTACTAAAATGAAAAGCAGAAAGTAACGACACACGAATGATTTTACGAGTTCAGTCACATTTTGAAAAATTATATCGGCTACTTCTTTTTTCGTTGTCCCGTTAATTCCATCGATTACTTAATCGACCTTTCGCGCACTCTACTTCGTTACCGCGTATTGAGTTTTAAAAAGTAATGCCACTACTAACAAACTTCCAGCATATTTCTTCCCTTCTTAGCCTTCGAACAGTGGAGTCGTATCAATTTATTCCATAGATTGGTTTTGATGTATTACAATTTACAGTAACAATGGCAGAGCGTTATCACTCGAAAGGTATAAGAAGATTACCTCTCCGGTATAATTTCATAAAGTAAATTTTATCCTAAATTAAATACCTGTGGTAGAAGAATGAGTGAACCTTGACACGTTTCACTCAGTCCTTTATCATGAAACTAAAGTAACGATTGTATTAATTTTATGAGGCAGTTTCCAGCGCCGTTTAATTGTGATATTAAAGGGTCATTACATATAAAACGTCAAAATATTTCTAAAACTCTCTCCGAAGTAGGTGCACCGAATTTGGAGAAAAGTGTTATAAATACTTTAACGTTACATATATATGTAAAATGGTCCTTTCGTATCACTTTAATTGTGTTATACATTAGGAAAGAAGCAGATCGACTTCACGTGTTCCGCTGTCCGCGTCATAACAAACGCTTAATCGATCTGACAGCGCATTGACCTTTCCTACCTATCTTAATCGATCGAGAGGGGACGTTTGATCGAATCCACTTTGCATGTCTTAGCGCAAGACATCTGGGAAAGTTGATCGGACCTAAGCTAGTTCTTCTCCTCGACGTCTAGTACGATAGTGAGTTGCCTACGGCGAATTATCGTATCACCGCGTAAAGTAGGGATCCAAAACGTTAAGGTGATATGAAATAGTCATTCCATATATAAAAATGTGAAAGTATTCATAAAACTTTTCTCCCAAGTGCACCGAATCATTTGGAACTTCAACAGGTGATTACGGTGGCCCTGAGGAAGAACGCGATGCTCGTAAAATTTAATTTCTTTTTATTTATTAATATTTTCACGTTTCATTACATGGAACGAATGAATTTCGTGTCCCCTTAAAACGCGAACTGCGCCGCGTAGATGCCCGAAAGGAAGAGTGTACAAGTATGTAATTCTAGAATTAGTTTAATTAGCGCGTAACGAGGCAGGAGTGAAAGGGGTGAGAAAGATAACTCGAGGGGGGGATGCTGCACCGCGTGTCGGTGTTTACACGGGAAAAGGGAGAGAGAGAGAAAGTAATCGTATGAGCAGAATCTACGCGAAAAATCCAATGATACGTGCCTACGATAGTTACCAGCTGGACATAGACAATGTGTAGATGGCTCTTAAGTTATCCGACTAATAATGGGGGATTACCGCGTTAGCGTCTATTTATGTACAAAAGAGGTGGTACAGAGGGACGGGGTACGCCCGGTAATTGGACGTACGAGATGTGCGTGGAAAATGATTATAGTATATGAATATATATAGTATATATAAACGAAATAGAAATCTATGTACACGCGAGCTACTGTTAAATGCGTTCTCCAAGGTGGTGCGTCGTAACTGCTCTGACAGCTGTAAATCGGTGAAAGAGATGCTTAAAGGGGGCTTCACGTAGCTCGACGTCCTTCCCTCTGAGTTTCCCTCGTCGAAGGGGGACGAACGGCCTCGATTGTTACATCCTCTTCGGCCTCGGCCCCTTTTTATTCGACGAGACGCAGAATCCGGAATCGGGGAGAGCGAGGGACGTCCCTTACCGAGGGCCGGAGTAAAACTAGAACAAATGTGTGATCCCGTTTTTAATCTGTATATTTTAATTAAATAAAACCAATTGAGATATACTTGCGTCGCTTTCGGGCGGGGTTGGTTAGAGGGTCGAGGTTTTAGTCCAAGCAAAATACGTCATAAATTCGACGACAGGTGGCGGTACTGTAACCTCACTTTTTCAAAGTGGTCGGAGTATACGTAGGGGCGAACCATTAAATACAGTCCGGCTTCGATGTTCCAGGTACCTGTACATTCCAAATTTGTTTATTTTAAGGATATGAAATTTGTTAAGCAAAATATCGAGTAATCTACTGTTGAAAGAAATTACGTAAATTATCTAGGGTTATTTTTTTTTTACTTATCCAACCCGGGTCGAGGGGGGTGCAGGGAAAGACATCTTTTTCGTCGTTTCTTGAAATTCATTTTTATTCGCCTGAATGTCGGATACGCGAACGATACAGTGGGACCTTGCTTGTTGGCGCACACGAGTAGGTATACAACGAGTACAGAGGGTGTATGTATACGTGAAAAATGCTATGCCTCGTGACTACGAGTACATGCTAATCTTGACTCGTACTATGTACAAGGTTTATTGAAAAAACGCGACGCTTCCACCCTAGCCCATTTTAAGTAATGACTCGTAATTGTTTTTTAATACCCTCGCATGTGTTATCCTCCTCGGTTTACGACGTGCACACCCATAAGCGTTGCTCGAGCATGATCGTAACTCCACCTAGTTACGGAGCTCCCGGGGGATTTTGTATTTATCTTCCAATTGTTTACAGAGGGTCTACACGGCAAAGAATTGAAGTTTTCCGGGAAATGAATTTTTTTTCGTACGTGGAAAATACATCCGTACATAGGGATATAACGCGTGAATTTGCGCACGTTCACGTCGTGTACGCATTAACGGAAACGGGAAAAGGAAAGATGACCCTCCTAATGTAACTTTACGGACAAGAGGGCGAATAAGGCACACGTTATGTCAATATCAATGCATTGTGTACAAAGTCACTGATCACCAGTCGCACGGGCTCTTCGATAGGTACAGTGGGTATGGTACAGTACGGTATTGAATGTCGGTGGGTACCGAAGGTACCGTAGAGAAGTTCTAACGCAAAACTTACTTAGGTGTGACAAAACGAAACCGGACACTGGTAAATAGCCTACGAAATCGAGAGTAATATCTATGACTGGAAAGTTGCCCTGAACCGGCCGCTGTAGTGTCGTAGAAAGTATAAACTTAATCAGTAGTCAAACGATACGAAGGAAAATGCATTCATGTACACGCACCTGCGGGACGCACAAGGCAGAAACCGGCACGTCTCCATTTAATGAATACTCGTGACAACAAGTGGCACGCACTAGCAATAATGAAACCCGACAATGATCGCCGTATCCGTAATGAGGAATTTCCTCGAAATTTTGGAATAATTAACGCGTGCCAAATCTCTCGCAACGGCACTCATTAAATGCAACACGCCCAGTCCCGGTAAAAAGTAACTGCAAGAGGTCGGAAACGAGAGCTTAGAGTCTCCACCTTACGTGTACGCGTGACTTACATCTATTTATGTATTTATATTTATACTTATATATATATTTTTTATATATATATATAATCCGTGTAAAACACCGCCGCGCCTTGTCGCTCTCGACAGAACTTGTATATACGCTCCCTATGTATACGTTCTATGTACACTATATCAACGTCCTTCTCTTTTGGTTGAACTGGAAAATGCACTTTTCCGCGACTCGATGCAACGTCGGTTATAATTTGCTGGTAGGGTCACGTAGGCTGTACGGTGTCTAAGAGTGAAGTCCTAATTGCACGAGAACGTTATTTAATTCAATGACACTTAAGTATTGTTCACTCTTCTCCGGGATAGTGGAGGCGTACTTCACCCCGCGGAATAACGCGCGTTTCAGTCGGTCGACGTTAATCGGGACCCTGGTAGGATCGGACTTTCAGACTCTTAGTAGGAAACGGAAGGTCGAGGAATATGTTATCGAGGTTTTTAACGTAGCCTGAGGTTATCAAAACGCCGGGTACTTATTCCTCTGCCTAGAAGGTTCGCAAAGTATTCTGGCGGTGTTAACGGAACGGCTTCCGGTTTATCTCCAGACCCACCGATAAAAATAACCTTCGCTCGATCCGGGGCGACGCGGAAGAGGCCGACATTCCGTTACTGGCTGAACCCTACGGCTAACTTTGAAATAAAATTATATCACTGACTTACGTTCCTGTACAATGCACCGTAAACGCATCCTCCGTGGCGTCGCGCCGAATCGAAGCGCTGGGAGATTTTCTTCTTCTTTTTTTTTTTTCTTTTCTTTCGGCGTAGTAAAGAATTAGGAACGGGTTTCTCTCTTTTGCTAAAGTTCGTCACTTGACTTTCGACGTTTTCCGGTGCGGCCACTCGCTCACCATTGTCTCATTTTGATGCACTTCCCCCATTGCACTTTCGACGAACGGATGCGCTTCTTAAGGGGACGTGAAAGTGGCATCTGAGAAATTAACCGTTTATTAAACTTTTCGCCAACCTGAGCGCACCGGATAATTTTAAACTTTAAGACAAGATCACAGAAGTCCTAAAGAAGGTCTTGAAACTCGGGAAATTTCATTTTTCGAAAAGAAAAAAAAAAATCTCTTCCTTTGGCTCTTCTCCGGGTCGTAAATACATTCTTTCTTTTTTTCGGCGAAAAATGAAATTTCGCCAGTTTTGAGATGGTCCTTAGGACCTACATAATCACGTGTTAGTTTCAAATTATTCGGCGCACCCGGTTTGGATATACTTTATTAGTATTTTCAGGTTTTCATGTATACGGAATGGCCCTTTCATATCACCTTAATGACCGTCGGCTTTTATCACTTTAACTGCTCACTGTTTCGCGAGGTTTAGAGAACTTTTATCGACGCTTTTCTCACCGGCCGAATTCGCTTGGCCGATGAGCCGCCACGCGGTGTCGAGCATCACTAATCGGCGATAGGACCTCACTTGGAATCTAATTAGTCTTGCTCGTTAAACGAACCGCCCACGTCTTGGAACGAAACCGAGGAAATGGACGAACGCCCTCGCATCGTTAATCCCCGGAATGATACGTCGCGTGTCGTCGCAAATAGGAACTTTCGGACGACGATCCGTTTCGCTTTATCAAAAGTTCTCGCGACACTTGGTGCGCAACTTCCGTGTCATCGCGAAAGATATTCGACGATGATACTATCATCGAGTCGTCCTACATATGTACCAAAGCGTGAAAATGGATAACTTTTCTCCAAACAGGATGCACCGAATAATTAAAACCATTAACACTTCATTACAGTGGTCCCACTGAAGGTCTTGAAACTCTAAAAATGTCGTTTTTCGAATAAAAAAAAAATGTATCTTCCCCGGATATGAACCAAAAAAGGGATATTCTTCTTTTGAACAAAGATGAAATCCCCTGAGTTTCAAGACCTTCGTTAGGACCTGCATAATCACGTGTCGAGGCTTTTAATTATCCGGTGCACCCAGAATAAATATTTTCACGTCTTGATGTATATAGGGACCCCTTTCGTACCACCTTAATTATCTCCCGGCAGCTCTCGGCGATCGAGGACGACGACGTGCCCGGTCGGTCCTTCGGAGTCGTCGCGAGGGTCGCGATCAAGGCGGCTTTCGCAAGGGAGCTCGCAAGAGACGAACCGGGCACCGAGATTAGGCGCGAATTGCCCGGATCCCGTTGGGCTACACCGTGCACCCCTTCCTGGACCCGTAGAGGATCTTGAGCTCCGGCACGATGATCTTCTTGATCAGGGCGTTCGTCTTGGCCGTCAGCATGTTTCGGTAGGGGTCCTTCTTGTAGACCTTTATTCCGGGTCGGTGGACCAGATAGGCGTTGTCCAGGATGAGAAAGTCGTAGTCGAGCACGCAGAGAGCGTAACCCTGAAGCGGAACGAGATTGGTTCAATCGGGTCAAGAGATTAGATGAGGATAAGCTGGATTTACGGTAAAGGGAGCGCGATGTCGCCAAAAGCATCGAGGGTCTCACCTGCATCATCTTGTCGCTCATGCCCTCCCAGCTGAGCCTCTCGTCGTAAAGGGGCTCGTCGTTGGTCCCGATGAATATCGGCTCCCAGTGGAAGAAGGGCCCGGTTCGTTTACCCACGTGGAAGACGTGCAGACCCTCCGTCTCGGGAGCTTCTTGCCACTCTTTTTCCCGCGGCACGTTATGGCATCCGGGGCAGAGCTTCTTGTGGAACGGGATGGCCGTCCCCGCCTTCAGCATCTGTACCTATATCCCCAGGGAAAAAGAGGATCGTCATCGTCGGAACGGTCCGCGCTTTTTCCCGACGGTTCCTAACTACTTAAGCAAAGAAATCCAGCGGAATTACCAGCCGCGTCTTGTTACGGGGTGGCCGGCTCTTCTCGTTGACCTCGAAGATCGGCAGAACGAACACTTTGGGATTCGGCCTGTAGAAGGCCGGGTGGTCCCTCCTTCTGATCATCTCCAGGAACTTCGGCGGGAGGTCCGGGCTCGGGTAGAGCTCGATGTCGCTCGCCAGGACGTATCTCGTGGGGGCCGACTCCCTGGCGATGTTGCGACCGACGTTCACGGGGTAGAGGAGCTTCTTCTCGCTCTTGTACATCTTCGGGGTCGTCACGTTGACCCACGGGGCAGGCCGCGAGCAGTTGTACGTCTCGGCGAGGATCTTCTCCGTCGAGGGAACCTGCCGGCACGAGTGATACATCGATTAACGCTAAACCACCGCTGAACAACGAGAAACTCGCCCATGGACGACCGATTACGAAAGGAACGTCGAGACCGCGCTAATCCGCCTACCGATTTTGGCACGTGCTTGCTACTGAAGTACAGGTGGAAGGTGACCAGCTGAGAGACCAGGGGGTTCCCGCAGGTCCTCAGGTAGGAGATTACGTCGATGCTGGCCTGGAAATCGGTCCCGGGGGCGTGGATGGCGATCGAGACCGGGGCTCGCCACCGCTCCAGAAGCGGCTCGAGGTTGTCGAGGAAGGTGTAGTCGGCGTGCGTAGTGTACGTGACGCTCTCCCAGCATCTCACCGACATGCTCATCGGCACGTAGTTGTAGAGCACCCAGTAGTCCCCTCGCTGGGCCATGCGCGGCTCCACGGACTTGTCGTTGCAAGCGACCGCCTCTCTCAGACTCAGCGGCGGCTGTTTCTCCTGGGCCGAGGTCAAGTTCTCCGTCTGCTGCGAGAAAGGGGGAAACTCAGTCACCGGGGCATTTGCATATTCGACAGGCCGCCTAGGATACGACGTCGGGGTCTTGGAAGGCGATATATCCGCTACGAGAGCCCGAGAGGGTCCAACCCCTTAATTGGAGACTCGGGTGGACGTCTATACCGAGCTTATCAGCATACACCGCCCCGCTATCAAAGTGCATGCCTTAAGTCGATAGGAAAATACCTCGAAATTACGGAAAATGCTCCCCAGGTATTTCGACGTACAGGGAAAGTCACGATCTGGCATACCCTGCTCGAACTTGACGGCGTTCGCCACCTAAGTGGGGACGATGACTTCAACCGCTAGATGGCAGTGGCATGGCATTCGGTGGGAGGTAACCAAAATTCACTTTCTCACTCGGATGAGGTAAACGTAACGAATGTGTCCTATATGTGCAGGGCGATCCGCTGATTTTTAAGCATCGCTCATTACGCATTGCGTCTCCCTTATCCGAGAAAGAAATTAAATTTTGATTATCTCCCACCTAATTTGATGATATTGTCGTCTAGCAGGGAAGCCATTGTCCTCACTTTGGTGGTGAGGTGGTGAGCGCCCTTAAGGTCGGGTCGCGATATATGTATATGATATATCTCGAAATTACCGGCTCGTGAGCGTCGAGCCTCTCCTTCGGCGCCTCCGCGAGGGTCACCGGAGAGAGCCTGGCCCTGGGGTTCGGCACCGTGGCGCCGACCTTGGAGCCGTTCCCGGTGGAGGTCGCTTGCACCGGCCTGGCCTCCTTCGCCTCCTTGGTGGACTTCCCCGGCACGGAGGCTTGCGAGGAGGGGAGCGACGAGGCCGCCGACGGGCTCTCCCGGGTCCCGTTGATGCCCTCGGAGGCTCCGAAGGCCTCGGCCAGGGGCGCCGCCCAGTTGGTTGGCTGCTCTTCGATCCAGGGCCCCGAGCTACCGAAGTGCGCGCACACGTAGAGCAGCACGCAGACGTTGAGGACCACCGAGAGGCGCAGCGCCCAGTTGCGGCGCGCGATGCCGATCATGCTCGCCCGGTCGCGGGTCCTCCGCTCCGATTTCCCCGCTTCCTAGCCCGAGGTCCTCCAAGGCGAGGACCGTGCCGCTGATCCTGGGGCTCCGACCTCACCACACGATCATCTCTCCCGGGGTCTTCGTTGGACTGGAAAGAAAAGTTACCATTAGTGAAAGTTCACCCTGATAGAAATTTCCTTATCAGTCCTCAAAAAATTAATGAATACGACGATAATGAGTACGACATAAAACTTATTCTCACGGCTTAAAATATTGTTTTGTATAGCGATTTTCGATGAAGTAATTCCTTCCTCGTTGAAAATGATTCCGGATTACGTTCTTTGTTTTTAAAAGGAAATACCGCCGATCGACTCGATCGGTGCGGAAATACGTTCGCAATCTTGATCCCCGGGAGGTGTTGGAAATCGCGGGTGTGGCGAGCACCCTTGATTTCACCCGAAACCTCTTACGAGGTACGACTCCTCAGGTTCCAGGATTTCCGGCGGTTATCAGCCGCGCACCGCGGCTGCACGTGACATTTTCCAGGGACGGATTCCCCCCTTCCCGTCGGCCTTCATCTCGACGTTTATTTAGACGAGGACGACGCGAGGCTCCCCACGAGTAGCCATCCGAAAATCCGAACCCTAAATCCATGGGTCCCGCTTGCGACGATCGGAATTAAGGACGTAAGGAATATATGGACAGAGCCCAAAGTGATTGGAATTCCGATTGACCTGCCGAAAATTTCGTGCTTTAATAATGAAAAAATTGGAAAATGCAAAAATGCAATCATTTTATTTTAATATTTACGTCCATAATATTCTTAAGTCTGTGCTCGGGATTAGTACCTTCTTCCACCCCCTGGCGGCGCAATCGGAACGAGACGGAGAGAAACGCGACCCGGTGCCGAAAGATCGGCGAAGAGAGAACCGGTTCGTCCGGATCCTCGGTGCTATTTATTAATTCCGAGGCCAGGACAGGATCTTGCAGATGCAACGGGGGTTCGACGACACCTCGAGGATCGGAAGCGATCCCGAGGGCGTCTCGAGCCTCGCCCTCTTTTCTGGATTCTTTTTTAGCCGCCGATCGGCCCGGATAATTTCACGTTCCAGATAATTAAAGGTGTTACGAAAGGTCCAGCCTATTTATATATATATATTCATTTCAAGTTTTACCACGCGAACGTGGAAGTCCCAAAATAGGTCCTGATTACGTTAATATCTTATCAAATAATTCCTTACTCTTGGTTTCGTGTAATAGGAATTTTTAGAACAATAGTTTAGTCGCAGCTGGATGTCACAGATGGCGCCCTCGGTCCATTGTAGTATCGGAATAGTATCCAAAATGGCGTTACTACCGAAAAGTATATCGATGAATTTTATTTCATCGACGTCGATTAAATTCCCCGCCGCCTTTCGTATCGCCTTAATCGGAGGGAAATTGGCTGCGATGGTAATAATACAGCATCGCGGGCAACGAGGAAACGCCCGGGAGGAGGAAACGCCAAGAGAGAGGAATTCAGATCGAAGAGCCCACGCGCTTCCGACGGCTTTGCGCGGCTCCGGAAGCGGCCGCCTGCGATACCGATACGGAGAAACGGGGAGAATTTAACCTAGAATGGGAACGTCACTGCGGCACCGCGGATAGTTCAGCATTCCTGCCGTTAAGAAAAAAAAAAAAAATGAGACGAACCGTCCGGAATGTCAGTGCCTCTCGAGTAAAAATTTCAACCCTTCTTTAACACTTTGGAAAGAAATGCCAGTCACGGGTATCGCAAAACCGATTAATAGACTTCCGGTGAAAATTTAGAGAAAAGTTGTATAAATGTTCCCACGTTTTGATATATATACATATATATACATAGAATGACACTTTCGTACCACCTTGATACCTATAATCGGAGGTCCTAGGTAGGACGAAAATTTCGAACGTCCAAATCGGATTCTCGACCGAGTTTGACCGATCTCCTCGACTTTTCATCGGAAATGAAATTCCTGGCGATTGTTTCCTCCTCGGATCTTTCCGGTGTTTACTTGGCGGGTCTTTAGCCGTTTATTAGCGGCGCTGCAGACTGTAACGCCGGCATAAAAGGCGAGAGCAGACCCGAAGGATACCACCGTCGTTAACCGAATTACGAGCCGAGACTCGAGTCTCTCTTTCTCTCTTCCTCCCAGCCGACCTTCGTCGGGATTTACGATCGCGCTTTCTCGATCGCGCGAGGCTTATCAGGCGCGGCCTTGAGGTGGACTATTAAACGATCCCAAAAAATGCACCGACAAAAAAAAATAAATACAATACGTCATGTAATATACGTGCTTGTCTACGTGTACATTACAACGTATAATAATAAAAAAGACAATCCAAACTCACGTGGCGAATCGTTACTCTCTAGTCGTTGTTATAAGTGCAGCGAGGCAGTCTCCGTATCTTTTTTCCGCACTTCACTTTTTTTCTCCTCTCGCTCGAATTTCATGAATGGTAATCGATGGACCGATTAATGGTAATTAATTCCGTCCGGCAATCCCGAGGCTCTTTATTTATGGTTCCGCTTCGTTCCTCCACGTTCCGTCTTCCGCGGATCAGCTGATCGGGTAACTCGGTAGAGTTTCGCGAGGAAATTTCAAATGCAGGAAAAAAGGGTGAACGGCAACGACTCGGATTAACCGTTCGGTTTGTAAATCGACGTCCAGTACCGAACATTACCGAGTCGAAAAAGCCTCTGGCTAGGGCATTTATCAGCGAGAAACGAGTCACGAATGTCGACCGACCTGATTCCGCGCACCGAGTAGACCGGACCTTTCGAGACCCTGCAACGAGGAGGGTCGTTAAACGGAAAGACCGCCGGTCGAAGTCGCGAAATCCCCCCCAGGAAAATCGGTCGAAAGAGGTGATCGATGGGGGATCGATTGGTCACGCGGGGGAAGTAATCGGGGATGCTGAGGAAACACTCCGTGCCGATCGCCGATCGTCTGATAAGGTCTCGATAAGTCGATAATAACGAAGGATCGATCGCGGATCGTTAACCTCGGCGGAGAAGCCCACGACTCGAGATAATTAATCGGGAGGAATTTTAACGACGCGTGCTCGGTGATTTTTTTTTTTTCAAAACCACTCTTCAGAGAAATATGTAATTTTACAACATTTATAATCGAGGTGTTACTCGGACGTGGTATAATTTTACTAATTATACTGATTTCGCAATATACTTTTAAATTGATATTAAATTCACCATTAAGATGTCGAATTTTTTAATTTTACTGCAACCTTACGTAGTAACGGTGTTTGAGTTTTAGGAGTTTTTTCTTTTTGTTATCAGTGCAGGTGCGTAGATTTCGCAAGGATTTCTCTTCGCGGGAGGAGCTCTCCAGCCTATCTTCGAGCCGAGGCGGTCGCGATGATAAAATGACAATGACTAATGTTATGGGCTTTTGAAACCCGACCGATTGCGTGCCGGCGAGATATACACAATAAGAGTCAATGTTTAGGAAATGCAGCGATCTCGGGCCGACGTGCGTTCCCCTTTGTTGTCGGTATCACGGCGGCGATTAAGCGGCAGAAAGGATGATTAGGGAATCGGCGAGAGCGTGCCCGGGCACAAGGGATTCGAGGGAAAATCTGAAAAGAGAAATGAATCTACGAGCAAGCGACAGGTATGGAAAGAAGGAGAGAAACTCCCTTACGCCACCTGACTGATGACCCGAATACCGCCTATCAGTTATCGCGTTATCAAAAGACGCCTTATCTGGGGACCGAGGCTCGATACGAATGTTCCTCGCGTCTAATGAAGCGCCATTAAGCCGGGAAAAAAATTAATAAAGCGAGGGAAATCTCCAGGACGTCGCAGGATCGACGACCCCGGTGGCATCGATCCTTCGTCCTGCGTAAGCGCTATAAAAGGAGTCCTTATATTGAAACCAAGGCTAGATACGAATGTTTCTAGCATCTAATGAAGCGCCATTAAGCCGGGAAAAAAAATTAATAAACGAGGGAAATCTCCAGGACGCCGCAGGATCGACGACCCCGGTGGCATCGATCCTTCGTCCTGCGTAAGCGCTATAAAAGGAGTCCTTATACTGAAACCAAGGCTAGATACGAATGTTTCTAGCATCTAATGAAGCGCCATTAAGCCGGGAAAAAAAATTAATAAACGAGGGAAATCTCCAGGACGCCGCAGGATCGACGACCCCGATGGCATAGATCCTTTATCCTGCATAAGCGTTATAAAAAGACGGGATTTCTTCGGAGGGACGAAAGCGGTCAAGAGCGTCCAAGATGACGTCCGCACCTGTCGTCGGGAGGAACAGGACACCTCGAGGAACGAATCGAGTCCTAACGTCGAAAGGATCGAATCGAAGACGGGATTATCGGCGACAGGTGGATTTTATCGTCGACTCGTTTTTTCCCCCGCGGTGAGATTTTATTCCCTCGTCGACTTGCCGACGACTTGTCCGTACAATTGCGACCGGATGTACACGTATCGACTGCCGAGCACGTCGTATGCGGAAGCGCGTGCGCGCCCAATTGAACGTAATCGAAAGAGGGCGATTAAAAAGCGGATTAACAGGGATTTACAAGGGAGCGAGTGGTTTAACTCCGTAATACCATTTCCCAACGTCTATGTCACAATTTTCTGTCTATTGAGGAGATGGGTCACTTACCGTCGAGCTTCGTCGAGTTTTCGCCAGTAAATCGCCCGAGATGACTAAAGTTTACTGATATCGGTACTGACGGATAAGCGATAAGAGTCTGCCCGAAATGTTGGCCCTCTTTCGGGTATCTGATAATTCCTGGCTCGCTATCGGTTCCCGCGACTCGATCGATAGCGGTGCAATTACTTTAATTAGTCATCCCCTTTTCCTGGAGAAGCGAGTCCTTCGGGGAGGAGTGCCATCTCCTGAGACTCCGCAAGGAAGTCGAGGCCTCGGCAAAACGGACTATCGAGCCTCGCCACTAGTGGTACGATATTCGATTAGTCCTTATCAAAGGAAATCTCTATAACTCCTGGCCGGGTCATTCATCGAGTATTTATGGACCATAAAGCGGTTATTAATCGGCCAGGCAAAAACCACAGGATGGTTTAAACGACTCATTAACCTTGCTCCCAGGAACCGCGATTCGGGGAAAGGGGTCGACGCATATCGAGGGGCACTCGTCTCCCTGATTGCGAGAAATTCAGGGAAATGATTGGAAAATTAAAGGATGCGAGGAGGAAAGCGAAACGCACCAGGGCAGCTTAGCGACGCGTGTCGTTTCCTCTTGCAAATTACGGAGCTTGTCATTTACACCCGGCAATTCGTGGTCCACTTCGGTTCCTAGAAAGTGCAGAAATGAAAGATCCCGACGGCGAAGGGGAACCATTCCGCGCTGCGGTTATTCCACGGGAATTACCTATGTTTCCTATTTTTTTTTCTCCCCCCTTTTTTTCGACGATTGCGTTTAGCAATTAGTCGCGTTATCGACGTCACGTCGGGGGTACGATAGCCATTAAACGTTAAGTTGCAATCCCGGCTCGGTTGTCGCGGATGTCAACGGTCGTTTCGAATACCTAAACAATCGGCTGGAGCGTGTCGCGGCATATCTTACGAAGCTCGCGTTTCGAGCTCATTAAGTCGCCTTCTTATCTGCGGCGTATACATTTCCTTTGGACGTCGACGACAATGTTGCGCTACGTCAACAAACAAGTCGGACTGTCAATTGAAAGTCACGGGGCCACCTCGAGGGAGCTCTGGGTGGCATCGGGGGGGGATGGTAAAGTTGGAGAAGAAAGTGCGACAGAGGGCGAAAAAAGAATTCTTTTTTTTTTTTCTCTCGAAATTGAAATCTCACGAGCTTCAAGACCTTCGTCAGGGCCTCCATAATCACGTGTTTTAGATTACCCGGTGCACCAGTTTGGAGGACAGTTTTATAAATATTTTGACGTTTCGGTATACATATGTAGAATGACCCTTTCATATGTGCCCATAATGATGGAAGTGGTCTAAGTCATGTATTTTTTGTTTCGAAATTACATTGAATTCATTTAGTTTAAAATAATGTGGTGTGAAATAACTGATAAAGTCATTCTTTTTTTTTTTAATTTTGACTTAGACCACTTTCATAATTATGGGCACATATCATTTTAATATGGCGTCTCATGTCATGATCGACCAGGTCTTCTCGTTATCCGGGGATATCTTGGGCGGTAACCGATGTAGATCGAGGAATACCGGGACCTGGGAGCGTCGGGAGGTACTTTGGAGCGAACTCGAGCCTTATCAGTCGGCGGCGCCGATATCGGTTACCTAGATTACCCGAGGTATAGGCCGGATAGTTTAGTCGCGCCATGGTGATCGTCCTACTCGTGCCTGATACTCCCTCGCGAGTTTAGATCCGAAACGCACAGTGATTTACGTCCCAGTGAGCGGTGCGTTAAATGAATCAGAACGTGCCTCGTTTCTTGATAGACCGCTCGGTAGGGTCGATTATGCCCACGCATATTATCGGTGATTGCAGGCCGCTCCTACGAGCCTCCGAGGTCATCCCGATAAAGCCGATAGGAGAGGAAAAGGGCGCCGAGGAAGAGGGGCCACGTTGCGTGCGCGACGAGGGGGCGAAAGTGCGTCGATACGGCGATAACGGGGGAGAAGGAGAAATGGGGAGAAAAATTAGCGAACCCTCGTCGGCGAAGTCGCGTCTCGAAATCCTGACGGCGGGTAATAAGAAAAATATTTCCTTAAGGCAAGGAATAATTATTTCACTCGAATGAATCGTCATCGTTCGAAAGAAACGTCGCATCGACATTATTCCAGTTCATTTGGGCCAAATAATAATTATTTGCGTTATCACAATATTTTTTCGGATCAATGACACTTTTTTTTTCTTTTTTTCTCAGGGTGATAAGAAGATCAAACGCGTCATTGAAGTCGAGGCGGGGCTGGTGTGCTTCGCTCCTACTGATGGATTGGAAGGTTAAGAGGCAATGGAAAGGAAAAAGAAAAAGGCTGAATGTGCAACCAAAGTCAACTCTTTGTCAACGGTTTACGACTCCACCTGTTGCGACGTATCGCTACAATCACCTCCGAGGACGTTACCGAGGGAGATGCTACGCTACTCCAGGTGACGTATGCTTTATGGTGCGTCGATTTTTTACCGACCTGTCGCGACGTTGATATATAATACTTTTTGCCGTAGCGAGGTTAAGGCGATATGAAGGAGTCATTCTATATATATATCGAAACGTCCAAATATTTATAAAACCTTCCTCCAAGCAGGATGCACCGAATAATTTGAAACGTTAACACGCGATTATGGCGGTCCCAATGAAACATTTGAACCTCACGAAATTTGATTTTTCGCGAAAAAAAAAAATTTGCATTGGTCCTCAAAAATATAACATTTTTCTTCGAAAAAATAAAATTTCCCGAGGTTAAAGACCTTCCATTGGGACTTCCATAATCACGTGTTAAGGTTCGAAATTGTTCGGAGATAAGTTTTATGAATATTTTATATACATTAATATGACACTTTCGTAACACCTTAAGTGGCGCTTGTGGGGCGATTATGAGCTCGCTCGTATGTGTGCGGAGGACGCGGATGTGTATGTATGTTAATTCAGGAGTCGAGGCCTCCCCTATGGAATGAGTGAACAGGGAGTACAGAGAGCACCGAGAGCATACGCGGCTGTGCTCCGGAACCGGTTACCTCGGTCTCTCAACGACTCCAGCAGCAGCCTTGAACGAGCTGCGCTCGGCGGCGGAAATCAAGCCGTACAAATTCTACCGTCCAAGTTCAGGGTTCCTGTTCGTGTTCCACCGCCTACCCGGACACATATTCATTGGCCATTCGCCGAGCTCGTTCCCTTCGTCACGGTACATCGGGCCGATTTTCAAGCGAGCCGCGAAATCGCGAGGGGCCGCCATCTTGTTTCCCTCCAGACGTCCGGACGTCTTTCCAGGACTGCGAACCGGCTCGAGGATGACCTCTCGGCGATCTCGTTTCTTCGCTTATTTTTTTTTCCCTCTCGAGAAAATTGCCCTTGCCTGACCGATATTCGGTAACGCCAATCTCGAACCTCGTAAAAAGACGCCGTGGAGGAAGAGAAAGAGAGAGAGAGAGACGAAATTGCTCCGATTTCACCACCTGGTGAAAAGTTGTGGCCCCACGTTATGTGCCCACGTGTGGAAATTACAGCAATCGAGGGGCCATTCACTCGGAAATCAGCGAAAACGATTTCCTTCTTCAAGAACCGATTGCCTTTGATTGTATATGATAAGGAACCATGGGATTCGGTACCAGACAATAGTCGGCCTTAAGGTGATATGAAATGGTCACCTCAACCCTGCGCCCCTGCTCGATAATTATTACCGTATGACTCACGGGGATAATTTATGGCGGAATGCATTGAGTCGGGTGCAAGAGCCGGATGGAGCGAGCTCGATTTTTTTCTTTTCCGGCAAAAAACACGCTCCGAGGACGAATCGCCGATCAAGCGACCCGTGGAATTAATCCGAGTGGACTTGGAATTAATTGGCCCCGCGAACCGGGGGCTTTTTTTCAAGCCTCTCGTTTTTGTCCTCGCCACGAGTGCGTGAATGGGAGTCGTACTTTTATCGAGCATAACGTTAGCGGCGTGTCTCTAAGTTTCCATAGCGCCAAGCAACGCGAAATCGAAACCAAGTGAGTCAGGCTAGACGATAATGCAACAATGGCCGCGCGGAATGCGACCCAGGATGAATTCCTTTTTTTCTTTCTTTCCCGAACGCCTTTTCGTCATCTCGAGTACGTGGCTTGCCAGTCGCGCGGCCTGTTACTCCTACCCGGCGTGTATTTCTTAAATCCGATCCCACATAACCGGGTAATCCTGTAATCCGCGTAATGGAAAGGCGCCATTTAGTGCGCAATCACGATCCCCGGCGATGTGTCATCTTCGCGCCGACACCGAGAAAGGCCTTCGGGGACTAATTTCGGGTCAAGACCTCCGTTAGGAATGCACAACGGATCCCCGTGTGTAACTTGGCGCGTGTGTCTTTTTCAGTAATTCGCCAGCCAAGAAGGACGCGGTCCCGAAACCTGGAGGGAACCGTGGCCGCCATTGCGGCGTCCCCGGAAGGACGCGATCTTCCAAGATGGCGGACGCGGTCTTCCAAGATGGCGGACGCGACGTCAGCTGATCGGTAAGCAAACGTCAAATGCCAGGTCAGACGTCTCCGAGGGGAGTCGGAGATGTTATCCCGGCTTTCACCGAGACCACACCAGTTTCGATTCTCCTTTTTCCTTTCCCTCTGGCAGCCGAAGGTCGCGAGGCGCCGTCGAGACGAGCCACGACCCTTACGTCACCAGAATACGTGCCAAAAGGGAGGGCGACGCAGAGGAAATGGCCGAGGAGCTTCGAATTCGACGTCACGTGGCCCGATGGCTCCTCTGCCGCAGCGAGATAGAGATTAGAAGAGGATCGAGAAGCGCGACGTCAAACTTTCCAGTCACGTGACGAGAAGTAAAAAAAAAATTATTTTTTTTAATACAAATGAAATTTCATGAGTATCACGTTCTTCATTAGGGCCTTCCTAATCACGTGCTGAGGTTTCAAATTATCCGGTGCACCCAGTTTGGAGAAGAGTTTTATAAATATTTTCCTCGCCTCGTCTTCTCGTCCCTTAAACGCGCATCGCCGTGATAAGGGTCTCCTAGAGCGATAAGGTCTCTTATGATTTTTTACTCCTCCAATAGCCGCGACTGAAACCAATCCAGAGCGAAGCCTTGTGCGGTAACGTACTTCCATTCGCCAGAAATGCTAATATGGATCAATAACTCTTTTACCGAATGCGGTAGCGCTCGCCCTAGGAATCCGTGCACGAGTCCTAGAAACACCTGACACCCTTAAGGCGATATGAAAGGGTCATTCGATATATATCACAACGTCAGAAATATCGATACAACATTTCTCCAAACTGGGTGCACTGAATAATCTGACACTTTGACACGTGATTACGGAGGTCCTAATAAAGGTCTGAAAACTCGGAAAATTTCATTTTTCGAAAAAAGAAACCATTCTTTGGGTTTATACCGCAATAAGGAATTTCTCAAGTTTCAAGACCTAAAAATAATGTCGATGAACCAAAGAAATACTGCGTTAATTCAAAGAATAATTACTTTACTCAAAATAAACCCGGAATAAATCGGATGCAACTTCGGAATTATGACGATTAATTTGAGTCAAGTAATTATTCTGGTTAAAAAAAAAATATTCCTTTGGTACTATTCGAAGAAATCTCTGTTTAGTTCGATGGATGTTTATTCTCGGTGCATGTTTCGCTATAAACATTGCGTGAAAAAAAAGAAATGTTCAAGCGGTGTTGGGAAAGTGAGCCTGCTTTGCATCAACAGTTGCTAGGAGACGAAGTGTACAAACATTACAGACTCGAGGGTTTGCAGTACCGTGCAATATTTTCGGACGGTGATACTCGTGGGTATAAAATGACTGCGCTCTGCATCGCGGATATAAGAGGTGAATCAATCGAGGATGCGCAATTCCCGATTAGACAATCTCGCGGCGGGTTATTTAACAACGCAGGAATGGGGAATTGGCGGATAAAGCAAGCCGGATAAAAAATGAATTGCATTCAATGAGCGGCCGATTAATCGAGGATTCGTCGGTGTCATCCTCGTCCGAGGATCGCCGAATGAATTAACCGGTGACTAACTCGGTAACTTCCTCATCGGGATCCTCCCCGGCCTCCTTTCACGTCGGATCGGAGTGATTTAATCCTCCCAGAATGGATATCTCGATTTGAATCCAACTCGACTTGCGATTCCACCTCCTCGGAATATCTCCGTTCCTCCATTCACTCAGATAAAAAAAGACTTGACCGAAAAAAATATACATTGCTGACATTAAGTGTCGCCTGAACCATATGTACTCGTGCATTGAATCATTTGAAACCTCAGCACGTGATTACGGAGGTTCGGTGCACTCAGTTTGGGGAAAAGTTTTATCAATACATTCACGCTTTATATACATAGAGTGACCCTATCATATCGCCTTAACGTTCAACCCAACTACGAGAGTTATCGATCGGCCATGTGGAAAATTGTCTGGGAAATTCCAGATAACTAGGACTTCCACGTTAGGAGTTCCCAGCCATAGCCAAGGTAGGCCTAGTTACGACTCGCTCGGCGATTCAAGATCATTTTTCTTGGTTAACGCCAAGCCAAGACCTAGTTAGAATTTAACTAGGCATTCTGCGCTGAGAAAAAGAAATTTCATTAAACCAAAGAAATATTCTATTAATTTAAAGGACAATTATTTCTCCAAGATAAGGCGGGAATAGATTGAATGCAACGTTCCTTCGGAATTGCGGCAATTTATTCCAGTCAAAGAATTATTCCTAGAATGGACAAAATATTTCATCTTCTTTGGTTGAATGAATTTCTTTTTTTTTTTAGACAATTTTCTCCATACTTCATGTGCTCATCCCGGTTTCTTATCGAGTGCAATCAAGTGCACGGCATTAATGAGCCGACGTTTATAACCAGGCTCTCCTGTTAAACGCACTCGATTCCTGTGCCATCGATCATCGGCATGAGCAATATTTGTCAAAATGGCCGTTTATATGTCCATGAGGGGCTCGTGAATAACGCCGATGAGAGACGGCCGGGACAAAGGCTTCCATAAAGTCGGAAAAAAGAGAGACGGCCGCGCTTCTCGTCGATGCGAGTCGATGTCGACGTCGACGACGGACGTCGGGGAAGGGCGGGCATACGACGTGTGTCGCTTAGGATATAAATAATTCACATTTTCCGACCTGCCTCGATATATCCACCGGACGTACGAACCCATCCTTTTCCTTCTCGAGAAAGGGAACGAAGTAACCCCGTGCATCGTGACGTCATCCCATAACCGGCCTATTAAAAAAAAAAAAGAAAAACAAAAAAACCTATAGTTGTACATCTTTCATGATTTTCATTCAGACGTGGTGTATTAATTTCCTAGAGTTGTTTCACTCATTATTATTCAGGAAACTATGAACTACATATTCACTCAGGAAATCATGGATTTTAAAAAATTAAAAAAAAAAGGAAAAAAATTAAGAAATAATTCATACACTTTCAGTACATAAGGTTCTTAAAGAAGGAAATGATTTTCATCGATTTCCGAGTGAATAGCCCCCAGAATGTCGTAGCTTCGTTATTCGCGAAGAGGAGGGCAAACAAGGGAAATTATTTTCTAACGCGTAATTGGGATCGCACTGTTAATTCTTACTTTTTTTTTTATGTCAATACAGACGCGGGACTTTTGAATTAGAGAAGAATTCCCACGGAGGATGGTACGTCGTAACGAGTTGAAATATCGCACGAGGCTGTGACCTGGAAATGGGAACCGAGACGACAGGTGTACGGGTCGCATCGCGAGGGAAGACTCCGGTCCACAGGTGAATTTATTTTCAGTTTGAATTTGAAATTTCACCTTTCGATTGCGCCCACCCAAGGCCGAGGCAACGCACTGGCCGCATAAAGGCGAGCCGCGGGCGTTTCCTCCCTTTCCAACAAACCGCCCAGCGAACTCGATTCGCCGATGAATAAACATTTGACCAGGTTAAGCAACTAACGTTGCACCTCTGGAGAGGGTTCGCGGATATCAAATGAAGTGCGGACAGCCTGACGATTTGACGTTTCAGATAATACGAAAGGGTCGTTCTATATCTATCAAAAGTCAAAATGTTTATTAAACATTTCTCCGAAGTGGGTGCACCGAAATTTCAGCACGTGATTAAGGATGCCCAGAGGAGCGTGGTGGGCGTGAAATTTCATTTTTGCAAGAGGATTTTTTTTTTATAAATCCCAGACAAGAAGTATTTTTTTTCTGCCGACCTTTTTAGAGTCGGGGATCGCGCGAATCGCGAAAACGCCCCGAATCCGGGCCCTCGATTAATGGAGTGACAAACTCGTTCGAATTGCAACTCTCGGCCGCACTTTCGGCGACATAGTTGTCCCCTCGTCCGGATCGTTTCGCCCTGTCCAGGGAATTGCAACGCGCGTCCATATTCCCTCCACCGTTTTTTCCCCGAGGCTTTCCAAGTGACCGAATATTTTCTTAACATTAATCTCAATCGCCTGGACATGATTATCCACGATGGATTTCACCACGCGCGTCCTAATCACTCGAATGAATATTCAACGGTGCGGACTCGTACTTTCCTAATTCTTCCGTTTCCTCATAAATGGAAACGCGGAAGGAGACCGGCTCGCCTTTCGTCAACACGCAGAAAAGAGAATTGACAGTCGTAACGAGAAATTTAGCGATGCTTCGAGTAAACGCGAACGCTTGAAAATGGGCCAGGATAAAATGTGCAAATATCTTTTCTTTCCGTCCGCAATTTGTACACGGAACTCCTCCGTCGAGCGCAATTTCTTTTCCTTGTCGTAGGTCGGCGAAGCCTATCGATTCGCCGCGTCCGGTATCGATATACCAGCTGACTATCGTCGGTGGCACACTGAACGTAATTCCGTTAATTACGGACTTCTAAGCCCTAACTCTTTTCGAGGTTGCAAAGAGTGGCGCAACACAGAGCTGTGTCCACAAAGCGGCCATTGTTCGGAAAAGACGCTTAAGATGATATGAAAGGGTCTTTCAACAAATATGAACCTTCGAAATATTTTTCAAGCTTTCCTCCAAACTAATTGCACCGAATCACTTGAAACTCCGACACGTGATTATGGAGGCCCTAAGGATATTTCAACGTCATACATATGTGCCCATAATTATGAAAGTGGTCCAAGTCATATATTTTTTGTTGAAATTACATTGAATTAATTTCGTTTGAAATAATGTGGCGTGAAATAACTGATAAACTCATTTTTTTTTTTTCAATTTTGACTTAGACCACTTTCATAATTATGGGCACATATACAGAATGACCCTTTCGTATCACCATAAAGAGCTAAAAGCTTAAAAGAGTGCACGCAACGTAATCCCTCATAGTTTGTTCAAAATCATAGAAAATGAGTGAAAGATTATTTTAAAAGCTTGTATTCGTATAAATTCTCATAAGGTCCCAGAGAATTTAATCACTGGTTGTATTCTCGTCCTTGGTCATATACTCGGCTGATATGATGAACTGGGAACTCTAAACGCAAGAAATGGCGTTTCAGGCAGTCGGTTCCCTGTTCTCGGGCTTGCCGATCGGGTTCTGCCCCTTTCGTCGGCCCTTCGATCGAGCCCGTTACCTCCATGATTTCTCGGAGCCCCGAAACCCGCAATTAATCTCCGACTTGACCACGGGTGGGTATCGATTCTTCAAAACTCGCGGACTCCACTCGGCCGACTCGCACGAGCTGCACGGGGCTCGTTACTTTGCAAACGATTCAGACGATGCAATTTCTCTTGCGGCATCTCATCGTCGGACCGAACCCACTCGCGGGACGATTACAATCTGTTCCTTCGACCTATCGATCCTACCTACCCGGCCGAACGCAATAATTAACGAGGAGTACTTATGGAGAAATTAAAGCCCCCTTGAATCAGTCAATTCGATCAAGACACATTTTTTAACCCTATGCCTACTACAGATGCCTAAAGGCGTCCGACATTGGGTCCAATATTGCCTGCACGCATAGTTGAATTTCGCCCATATGTCGGAAGGCTATGAGTTTAGATTTAGAGTTTAGATAGAAAAAAAAAAAAATTGTTGACTCAGTCTTGGCCAGAACCGAAATGACGTCAGCTCTCATATTTCGATCGATATACAATTATTGAAGGCTCCGAGATGGGAACCGAAAGTGTCAGGACAATTGTGCAACGATTCAGAACACTCTGGTAATCGAGAAACTCGTATTCGAACGGGAAAAAGGCAAAAAAGTGTCTTATGCGCTTCTATGCTGAAACGATGGTAACACGAGGTCTCGGAGAGAAAATTTAGTTGCCACTGAAATCACAGATGGCACGGGGTAGCCCTCTGCAGTCAATTAGGGCATCGAAAATCATGAATCCGGGGGGATTCCTGGAGTCTTACTTCGATCTATTTATAATTATTGTACGTAAACGACATATAGAGTGTGCCATTTAGCACAATATCGAATTTAATTGGGCCCAGCTGTTGATATAAATACGAACACCGGTAACGTAGATATTTAAAAGAATCTTTTTTACCGACGCCGATGAAATTTCTCGACGTGTTTCACTTCACCTTAAGGTGAATAATATTATTCCAGATTCAACGCCAGGCAACAGGATCCTGTCGTGAAACTGATCGTCCTCCCTTCTCCTGTATTTCAGGGAGTACGTGCGAAAGTGCAGGGTGCAATCCAGGGTTCCGTCGTTCCGAGGTCCTAAAGGTAGACTCGTCTTAGGATTCTCATAGAGTGGGCAATTACCTGGAGGACGTTGGCCGGGCGTCCAGATGAGGTCCCCGTCTCGGAGGTTCGCCCGGCGCCGGGATTATCGGCGAAATAGTCTCTCGATCATCGTCGAGGGGTCTTTTCTTGGAGCCTCCCGGCTACATCCTGTCGCCAGCTGCAGCTGCACCCCCGCCGGGCGCCGAGAGTGCACTAGGAGCGTCTCTTGGAGCACGGGGCCATGCACCCGGACCCACTTGACGCCGCGACAGAGAAACGGTCGAAGTCGAGGTAACCACTGTCCCGGATGATTATAAAGTCGGTGAAAAGTCGGGGAGAACTCACGCGTATCCTGTAGGTCCCCGGTCTCGGTCGGCTCGGCCGGTAAGGTAGAACATACGTGGGACGGATTCGGGGACGGAGCTTCGAAGGATCTCTGCGGGATGAGATAAAAGTGCCGAGAATTCGAGAGGTATCGCCGACTCTATACGGCTGAGAGGTGAAATAATTACTGGGAAATAATTACCTAGGGATGGCGGTGGACCGGAGGGGGGAAACGCGACTCGAGGGTCTCTTGGGGATCCCGGCCGGTAAACGGCGCTAGGAAACGTCGAGACGGTTTCGGATTCGGGTGGGTTTACGTGAGATATCGGATCGTGCACGCTCCCTTGTTTCGACCGCGCTCCGGGGGCTCGGGTTTTCCTGGATTTTTTGCCGACGGAGATGAGGAACGCCGACCGGGTGAGACCGCGTCGGACGTCCTTTTTGAGGGGAATACACGGCTCGACCCGGCCTGGGGGAACTCGAACGCAGAGAAAGTCGGTAAACGAGGAAACCCGAACCCACGGGTCTCGACCGCTCGAGCAACAGCATCCGACTGGCTGCGCGGACGGGACGGAGCAGTGCGGGAGGCAAGCCACGGGTGACGGAATGCCGGAGAATGGACGGGTGGAGGACGCTTGGACCGAGGCTTGAGGGTGGAGGACAACGCAAGGTCTATGGAGCCGGCAGGGGGGCAGAGGGCGGGGCTGAGAGACCTCCTGGTTTCCTCGATCGCTCTGTCTCTTTCGCACTCCCTGGTTGTGCGAGAAAGAGGGAGAGCCTGGTCTCTTGAAACAGATGACAGGGTACTGCATCGAGCGCTCCTTGAAACTGTCCGTACCGACCGAGCTGCGCGTTCGTTGAATTTCCAAGATGGCGGCCGCGTAAAGAGCGACGCGCGAGATTCGATTTGAAAATTCCGTTCGACTCGAGTCTTGGGTTTCACGCTCTAGAACTACCCGACGTCGTTTTCGTATCTTAAAATCGATTAATTCAATGAAGAGATTACGTTTTTGATTTTAATTGACTAAGGGAGGAGTATAATTCATAAATCCTTTTGGGGTGTCACTTTAATGTGCCGTGTCACGGGTATACGTTAGCAATTTAGTATTCGCGTTCTTGCGCAATTCACGGTAGTTTTGAGTTTAAGAACCCCTCGGGCGAAAGTGGGCAAACATTTTTTTGTGGGTAACGGACACTCGGTAACCGTAAAAGCGTGGACTTTCTATATAAATGGCGAGCGTCCTTGAGCCTCATTCGTATCCCGTTTGTTCTTTTACTGCGGCAATTATGTCACGATGTTCTATTTTATGTACGGATTACTTAATCTTTATGCACAGCTGGGATTCACGGTTCTTTGCTACTCGGCGAGCGTGTCTCCTTAAGGTGATATCAAGGGGTCATTCTATACATACCAAAACGTCAAAATATTGATAAAACTTTCCTCCAAACCGGCTGCACGGAATGATTTGAAACTTTGACACGTGATTACGGAGATTTTAACGTAGGTCTTGAAACTCGCGAGATTTCATATTTCGAATGAAGAGAAAGCAATGTATTTATCCCGGACGAGAACCAAAAAGAGAAATTTTTCTTTCGAAAAATCAAATTTCGTCAGTCTTAAGACCTTCGTTAGGATCGCCGCAATCGCGTGTTAATGTTTCTAATTATTCGGCACGCCATGCTTAGGGAAATGTTTTATAAATATTTTTACGCGAGTGTACATATGTGGAGTGACCCTTAAGGGAACTCTATGTCAATTTTGGTTCACGGAATTCAGGGATGCGCAGTGGGTTGCTGCATCGCGGTGCAGTCAGGTGCAGCGGTTGGCGGCAGCCAGCGGGAGTCGGCGAATGCACGCGGCCGTTGCGAGTCGTAACTTGCGACGGGGAAGGTCTGTATCTGTCCATCAGTGGTCAAGCGCTCCTCGTTGCGGTTGGTTGGTCTCGCCATCGAAGCGAGGCGTAGGCGCGGCGACAACACGGCATATCGACAGGACATGAACCCTATCGTGAGTCCTTTCCGACGACAGAGACAGGCAGAGTCGCGTTGATCGTGGAATGGCGATATAAAGAACGCGGTCGAATGTCGAGCACCGGTCGAAATGTCACAGACTTGGAGGATCCTCGACACCTGGAGCACGTTGTCGAGGTAGAACGAGAGGCTTCCCAAGAGGAAGTCTGCTGTGAAACCTACAGTCGTTTTGAGATAAGTCCCGAAGGGAAATTTCCACTATCGGTGAGTTCTGGAATTGTACCCATCTTATGAACTGGAATATTTAGATCGACAGCAGGAAGAAGGATGTAGCGTCATATCTGATCGAAGCTTGGGACTTGATATCGTTTCTTATTTTCCAGTTTACGAGCAAGGAGCAAGGGTCGCTTGCGCAGTGGAGGTTTTAGTACTTATCGAAGAAGCATGGGTCTTCTTGCGAGTCTGTTGGAATAGATAACTGGATTGGTTGAACATGCCGAGGACATCGGCTTGGGACGTTTTGAGGATATCGTCGAGAACATCGGAAGGAAACTATGACCGTTCTATGTCATGGCGTTAGCGTTTTAAGATAATCCAACGATAGCAATTGCCTGGGCTTGTGAGTTTTGACAGTTTGACTGAGATAATTTTACGGTTTAAAATGTCTCATTGTTCTTTGATTTAGCGTGGCAGCTTAAAGGTAACTGCCGGTGATACGGTAGTTATAGCTGTCGCGACTAATCTGACTGCAGAGGCGAATATTAGAGTTCATAAAAATGTTTTTATGTGTTCAAAATGCTTGCAGGTGGAATGTAACTTCTCTTGAGAATTCTTTTAAATAATGGAATCAAGTGAGGAGATGTAAGAAAAGCAGTCTTATAAAGACCGATCGATTCGTGATGTCTAAAAACCGGAGCATGATATTAAAGGATACTCCTAAAAGGAGTTACGTCAACCTAATGTAGCAGTTATTACCTTCACGAGGCAAAGCACTTATCGATATCAGTAAGTTAAAAATTTTATCCGAACCAATGTTGCAACATGTCTCGTTATTCATGGATTGAGTGCAACACGCTATGAATAATGACACCAATAAAATGGCACTATCGGTATTGACCTTTTTAAGAGCGGAATAAATGGAGTAAAGACTTTTGAGGTTTTTAATGACTTTTCTTCATTTCAAAGAAACAGCTGCTGAGAAGGTTGTTTCATTTCTCTTAGTTCAGATTGAATTTGCAGTTCTATCTATTTTTATGTTCTGTTGATACATCAGAATTTTATGCTGTACTTCTCTCTGATTTAAATTCGACTTATAGTTCTCTGGTACCTGCAATCTTTATGAACGAAAACTCGTAACCTCTACAGTTACCAATCAACGATATCTTGCCTCTTCAGTTTTTTAAACCAATATACTCCTGAACTGTAGCAGAATTAATTGACGGTTTTTAATCGGAGTTCATAATCCACTGGAGTGATATCGTTTCATCAGTTTTTTTATATCGTACGCGCATGAGTTTTGGATGTGCAGTATCTTAAGATTATTAATTGTTTACAATCTTTCTAGGAGCAAAGATGTCAAGGCGACTGAGTTTTTATGGGCTGGTCGGCCTAGTGTCCCTCTGTCTCTTTTTCTTGGCGTTTAATCAACATTACAACGGCTACTTGGAACGTCAACTGCAACCTGTGTTATCGGTTAGTAAATGTAAAAGAATTTGTGGTACAACTGAAATGGGTAAAAGTGTACTTTGAGGTGAATAGGTTCTGCGTGCCTATAAACTAACTTTTTTTAATCACTTTTTTGAAATCACATTTTGCACTGGCATTACTGTTTCCATATTCTGCATGTGTATTTTATTTTTTATTTGTGGTGAAATCGATGGTCTCATTGAGCCCAAAGGTATATCAGGTGTCGAGATTCAGGAAACGGTTCTAATTTGACCTAAGCATTTTAAACTGTATATATAATTAAGAGCTTCTGACATTTGTTCGATCCAGGAAATCGAGATAAGGCCAAGATCCGTGAAAATTCAAGATCCAGTCACGGTAAGTCTAGCTAGTAAATACAGGCGATAATAGTAAAATGCGTTCCATATGTTTTATACAATTTATATATTTTATCGCTTATTGCGGGAATTAACATACTTTTTTATTATTTTACGGTAGCCAGTAGAGTTGAGACATATTTGGCTTTGTGGGAGCTTCTCTATGCCGACTTTGAAATTTAAGAATATCGAGAAACGGTACTCTTATATATACAAATAAGTTTGCTTACGCACTTAAGGGCACTTGTATTCTCCACGCTTATACAAAACGCTTGGAAGTAAATTAAATAATATCGTGAAATGTGACAGTGACCAGCTGCATTCGAATGACATCTAATCAGCGAGACGAGATCCCAAGAAAATAATTCTGTAAAAGAAAAGTGAATAATTATTTCTGTGTTTATCGATACTTTTATTAATATCTTCATTTTTGCAGAGGTATCTCGGAACCACTCCAAGCAATGACACGCTGGATGAGATTCAGGAAGTTGTCGACCAACAAAGAAAGGCGATTACGAAAGAAATGGAACATTACAATTTCCCTAATGGAAAAAGTGGTGTTAACGTCAGGTAAATTGATCGATAACTGTACTTTCTTAGCTATTTAAACGTTGTCTTAAAAAAAATACCGTTCAGCAATGTTTCTTCATTTGTGACAGCACGTTAGATGATCTTTTAATGGAAAAAGGTGGCAAGCCTATGAAAAGTATCATTTTGACGACCTGGCGGAGCGGCAGTACATTTTTAGGAGACGTCTTGAACTCTCATCCCGCAAATTTTTATCACTATGAGCCACTGCTGGACTTTGGTATCGTACAAGTTAGAGGGCCACCACTCGCCAAGAAAGCTCTGCACAACATCGTGTCATTACTCAACTGTGATTACAAAGACATGGGTAAGTGCATTGCAGCGAAAATGCGTGTGCTAAAGTTGCATAAAAAAAATCCTTCCATTCCAGATCATTATTTAGATTACGGGAAGACGCATTCGTGGCTCTTCAATCACAATACACATCTGTGGAAGCAGTGCCAGGCGCACAAGGAAATCTGCTGGGATTGGCGTTTCGTCTCCAAGTTCTGCAGATTGTTTCCTTTCCAGTCGATGAAGCTCGTGCGCCTGAGGTTACACATCGCCGAGCAACTTTTAGCTCAAGAAGAGTGAGTGTTCGGTAAATGGTAATCGATATTCTTTCTATTCTATTTCTTACCTGTTCGATTTTGCCTCATCGCGTTCAGCTTGGGAGTTAGACTGGTACTTCTCATCCGGGACCCTCGAGGAATCATGCAATCGCGAAGACATCGAGAGTGGTGCCCCAACGTGCCCGACTGCTGGGATTCTGAAATCGTCTGCGCCGACATGGTATCAGATTTCAAAACTGCGGTGCAACTGATTAAGCAGTATCCTCGGACCTTCAGGTAATTCGAGCTGGATAGCGGAGCAACGCGAAGTCGCATTCCTGGGTCCTACAAATGCAACCGATATGATTAATCTTCTTAAAAAAACGTCTCTTTGTAGGATATTACGGTACGAGGATTTATCTTTGGAGCCTTATTGGCACGTGCAGAATTTGTACGAATTTTACGGATTGGAATTTCACGAGAACGTTAAGAGATTCCTCGATACTCATACGAAGAGCGACGCCGGTGGCGTGTCGAGTACTTTTAGAAACTCGAAGGCTACTCCGTTTCATTGGCGAAACGATCTGGGTTTCAAGGAAGTCGACGAAATTCAACGAAAGTGCACGACCGCAATGAAATATTGGGGCTATGTGCCAGCTATGAACGCTAGTCACCAGAAGGTCTTTGACCCTCTCACGGAATATCGTCTTGAGTTGTGACGATGTACGGGCGTACCTAAGTTTAACGTTACGCACAGTACTAATCCATTGTTATCGCGGGCGATACCTCTAGAGGACACTTATAGGAGAGAGAAATACCTTGAATTGTATTCACTAGGTGTATACGCTTAACTTTGGAGTCAACCGGTGAAAGTCTATCCTGGTAGATGAATTCCGTTGAAATTTCACTGAAAGTACCTTCGAAGAAATCCAGACTCCTGAACTCCAGGAAAACGTGGTAACGAGTATCACGGAAAGGTGTTCCTACGAGATCTCGGAATGTTTTGCCCACCAGAATGGCTTTCATCTTTATTCCGATTGTGCACTTGCAAACGTCGAGGTGAAGCCCTTGTTAACTGCCACATTTGCCGTCAAATCTGCGACGTAGAGTCGAGCAGTATCACCATCGGGATCGAACACGTAGCTGATCTAAATGTGCCTGATAGGAACAAGTGCGTCGAGTCTGAAGGCCACATTTTGCACCTCGGTAGCTGTGCTTCGCAAGGGAAGGAAACTTAGCACGTTGACATGTTGAATATCAAACATTTATTGCAGTATAAGACTTAGTTTGTAGACTCGCACAAGTCTTAAGTGATGATGACCTGAATGTTTATTGCATGATTGGGGATCTACAGAAATAAGTCAGCGCTCGATGCGACGTAGCACTGAACTCCTGTCGATGAGTCTCTGCGGTGGGTGAAAAGTAGGATTTTGGTAAATTCCATTTGTACCTTTAACCTAAAGTATTGCGTCTTAATTGTGAATACTTGGTATTAATAATAGATATACTAATTACTTATTCACGATGACGTTAAAATTTGTACATGGGGGCGATGCACGCAACGATATAACCTCCAACGAAGAACATATCGAAGAAAAATTATATAACCAATCCGTACGATTGAATAGTGCGGATGTTGATATTATTCGTGTGCTGCATCATGTTTAAATTTCTACTCAAGAGATGCAATTACTGGAAACCCTTTGTGAAAGACAATTTCCAGGTTATATGTTGAATCGCTGTGTAAATCATAGTATATCATTGTGTAAATGGTGTGTGTACGGAACATGGTGGGTGTGATTACGATGTATCGTGTAACCTAACACGAAATTCTGTAATGTCACCGATATTTTAGGATCACTATCACGGTCAATTGTTACACAAAGTGGACATAACTTTTTGATATAGATATAAAAGTCTGTAAACAAGAGTCCAACTTTATAAACGGTTCCATCATGTTTATTCTTTGTTGGAATGGAGGCTGTGGATTTTTATATTTTAAGAGAACGATGGAGAAAATCATTTCCCAGGCACTTAGGTACATAAGCGAAATCAAGTAAATGAAGTCACGTCCGGTAATCTTACTTATGATCGGGTTTACTTTCACTTCCACAACTGTCAACTCCAACATGTTTATTTGGCACAAGAAACGAAGATTTATAATCATCAGTTTGAAAGAAACGCCAGGGAGTCCTTGTGTTCACTATTTTCTGCATGATCATTGACTGCAGCTTATAGAATAAATGCTGCCTTTTTAACAATGTTTTATCGCGATCGAATGAAATAGTTTAAGCTTTATCGAACCAAAGCTCGAAAGTTATTGCAACGTATTAAATTCACGGAAAGTTTTTAGCACCGTGCCTTATGAACGTGTAAGAATTGCAATATGACAGAATTTCAGGTGTCATACTCATGATATAGGAAAATCTTTTTTAAATGGACTTGTACAGTAAGATAGAATAATATAGTATGCTTCTTAGTAACAGAGGATAAACGTAATACAGGAAAAAATTTTTCTGTATCATGGGCAAATTTCTAGTTTTGGGTCTGTGGCATGCGCAACAATCAAGTGCCTAATCGAAGGACCCAATGTATATTACGCCTCACATTTAGATGCGTGTATGTAATTGACCTTACAATAAAATTGATTTCTTTGCCTATGAACGATTCATATGAATTGTACCAATGAATTTGTTAGGTGCTTTTTTTACTTTGCAAATTGCACCAAGACAATAAAACAAACGAACATGGTATTACCATAATAAAACAAGATTTTTAATACAATCTATATTTTGTACATCTTACATTTTAATACAGAAGATACCATACGACATCGTTCAACAAATGACTTTTACACAATCAATTCATCTTGAGTATCTGAAAATAGAAAGTAAAGAATTTAAGAATACATTTTAATGGATGAGAGCAGAATCGATTTTCTATTAATACATGAAGTCAGAGAGGGCAAGTGTATATCATATTCAAAGAATCATATTAGCGTATATTATTTCCGTCAATCATCATAGTCTTTAATTTTACGCAAGTTCATTTCTCATCAATTAATATTTTTTTTACCTGTATTAAAAGATGATGCTAGGTGACAAAGTTTCACAGAATTGTCCAGAATCTGAAAATCAAAACAGAAAATAGTTATTATATTTATTTAATATCATTTTTATAATTAGTAGAAAGAAGTGATGTCAGTTATATTGTAACATCAACTAATTTCAGTCATATGCTTGTCAATAGTTTATTCATCATATTAAAAATACTACGAATGATTTTTAAGTTTATCGTTACAAATTAATTGAACATAGCTCACCACTGATTTATCAGATTTTGTATCATCTGGCTTACTAGGAAGTACTTCAACGGCACCTCATCATGGCTGGTTAACGACTTATGTTAGGAGAAACCTATAACACACAAATTGAACTAATCAGTTATGGCATTATCTGGTATCATAAAAGAACATCTTTATGCTAATTTCAGAATATCTTCTCACCATGAGTATGTATGACAGGGATAACTAAATATCTCATCACTTGCTAAGAATTTTATCGAGCCAGTTAAAAAGAAAAGTGAAGCTTACCTAAATTTTGTTCCGTCATCCTTGAATTTGAATGCTCTCGCACATCCAAACCGTTCCAAGAAATATGCATTTCTTTATCAGATATACATCTATCCATCAGTATAACTAAAACAATAAGGATTTTGTTACTGATGAATAAATTCAGTAAGAACAAAAATTACATATAGTGGTTACATATTTCAGATGTTAAAATTTCGCCATAACCATTCAGATTGACTGGAGCTGTATTCTATTCATCATTTTGTTACTTTATGCTAGTCGAATGAAAAAATTATATCTAAAACATATTTACCAGATATAATACTCGGTATACATTTTGGTCATCTTACGTCATGTATAGACCTAAAAAAGAAAATCGGTTCCTCATATAAATAGCTATTAAAATATGAACTATGATTAGTAACCAAAAGGTGATAATCAGAATAACTGATCTTCATAGCCTTCAGACTGGGGCAGTATCAAATCATCATATAAATTCACTTCATAAATCTATTAATTTTTTTTGAATTTAAATATTTAACAAACTTACGTCTGTATACCAGCCATGTGAATCCATAAATGAAATTAACTCCTGCTTGAGCAGTTGTTGCCATGATTTGAGCATTTCCATTGTCCTAAATCCAATATACATAATTACTATAAATTCACGTTATCAACAGCAATGTTTCAGTGAAGTAATTGCATTCAGATTCATTTAAATGAAGTTAATCAAATCGTTTTCATACGAACGAGACAATTGTTTCATCACATGCGTTTTCTAAACGTGGACATTTTTTTCTTATAATTCTGTGCAACCGAATCGAAAAATATTATTCAAAACTAAATCACACGCGACTGCGTATCGTACAAAATGTTTTGTAATTGAAATAACAAAGTTATACGCATGGATGCGGACGGATTTAAAAATTATTCGAAGTACTTACAAGTCGAGAATAGTCGACTACTCTCCCTCGCCTGCCTCCGTTCTCCTCGACGTCAGCAAATGAAATGGTCGAGAAGATCGAGAGCTGATGTGAAAAGACTCACGGCGAAGTAGTGCGACTGTTGCGCCTCGGCACGAGAAAAATTGCAATCACATACCTTATTTCTATCGATAAAACAGAAATCATCTGTTAAGTTTTCAGATAGCGTAAAACATCGAAAATGTACACGGTCGACGCTATGTCGGTTTCAATCCATAATAAACAAAAAGTTAGTTCATAATAAATGAAATTTCATTAGTTTTAGGACCTAGCTCGAACAGTTTAGGATACTGTAGAAATGGAATATTACAGAGTCAGATGGGAGAATATGGAAAATACTTTAACGAACGATTGCAAGCGATTGCTGGTTTGTGCCGTGGATAAGACGAATTTTTAGAGCAATACTTTAATTGCAGCCGAACATCACAGATGGTGCCGTTGGTCCGTTAGAGGATAAAAAATCATGAATCCACGTTTTTCAAAGAGCTAACTGGCTAAAAAGGTACTTCTTCTGACGCCGAATTCAAAGCCAGAAAGGGGGAAAAAAAAGAGAAGTGCGCTTTGTATCTATTCTGACCAGTTCCTTCCATATAAGAGCGCTACTCGTTACAGAGTATGTAAAGCCACTTCAAAGCTCGTCTTATCCACTTTGCCGGGTAGCTCCGGTTTTTCTCCGCACGTGAAAAACGAGCCTTGCTACAAACTGTATAAGGTGAGATTTTATACGGCTCTCTTCATTCATGGGTAAAAACTCTGCGAAAGGGCGAACAATGGCACGAGATCCTCCATCTCTCTGAATTTCATGGTGTAACAGGATCTATTATTATTTCCAGGAAACATGTCATAACTGGACTCGGGGCGTTTCCCTGGTTCCCGAAATGCAGGAAGAGGCGAAACGGGCCATTCGTGTTGGGAAATCGTGCTTCGTGTGCACCTCAACGATGATGTTGAAAGCTCGCGTGACGTCGGTATACGCGAGCTTGTAATTACGCGTATTCCTGCACCTATATGCCGAAAAGCAACGCTCTAAGAGAGCGAAGGCACGAAATGCAGACGATCGGCAATCGAATTCTTGAAAAATGGATCGGAGGTCCTTTGCAGCTAGACCATCGACGAGCACCCTGATTCCTATTCCATGCGGGATTCTCGCTTATCCACTTCGGTAATCACTTCTAATTCCTTCTTCGCGTGATCGAATTAGCCTGTTAAAATTGTGGCAAGGTCGACGACTATATCGACGAGGCGTTTTATACGTCCTTACCCCGTGATGGATCGGGCGAGACGCGCCGGCATGAATCATGAAAGCCAATGAAATCATGTCGGAGAACCGTTAACATTTTCGGAATTTATTGCAGACGAGGGAGACCATGGATCACCGTTCCCTGGTGAATATTCTTTCTACCAAACTTGTATATAAAGGAAGGCGATACAACTTTGTCGAATATATCTGCGACAGTGGGCCTCGGATTTTAACGAATCGCACTGAAGGTAATAATTCCCACGTGCCATTATCAGATTTACTGCCAATTGGGGAAAATTTACATTTTACTCCACCTCTCGTGGGAACCCTCTTCCCATCTTTGGGAATGCAGTTACGGCCATTCCCGCGGGAAGAATTGGACGGAAAGACTCGTAAATTTTGCCGGTAGTCCTCCTACGTTTTCATTTACGGCGCCCTCTATTTTGTTACCATTGTTCTGTATCTCCAGGTGAGGATTCCCAAGTTTTCGTGCACTCGCATCTTAGAAGCCCTCCGATTGAAAATCCCAGTCTTAAGGTGATTCGAAAGGCGCTGTGAAATTTAATCGACGTCGATGAAAGCAAGTTTCATCTATACCCTTTTTGGTGGTAATGTCATTTTGAATACTCAAGGGGTGATAGCGGTGATAACGATTGCGAGCGTATCGATAAAAAATTTACGGGTGTTTATATCGGAGCGATTTTCGATAAGTGCTCTTCCTCGTGTAAAAAATACATCGACGTAATTTGCAAGGGGATTTAACTAGGAAGGAATTGCTTTATCGAGAATCGCTTTACAAAACAATATTTTGGCACGTGAAAGTATCAAAATGTCGTATTTCACCCATTTATTCAACAACGATATTAACATTTTTCATTGTCATCGTCCCCATTTTGGTGGTGAACGCCGTTAGATTTATTTGTTGAATGAATACATTGTCGCGTAGGTGGTATACAAAGGTAATGGCGGTAACGATGAATCGCACCTCCGTTTGGATTCATGTGGTATCGATCTTCTCTCGGTTGGTTTACAAGTAACTTGTTGCTGCATGGCGGTCAGTCGTGGATAATTCGTCACAGCCTTGTAAATCAGTTTGCACCTCCCACCCTTCGTCGTGTGTCATCGTAAATTGGATGCCGGTATAAAACGATACGTGTACCGCAGAGATTAATTTCAAATAATATTACGGAAAATAATAAGCCAATCTAGGGGCGAATGACGATGGTAATTGGAGTGGCTCGATCGATAGCCCATTAAAATGCAAAAATAATGGGTTCCGGCAGTTTTCTGTAATATCGATGCCATTCGAAGTACGCAGTGCGTCATGCGGTTTAGACCCCCGGGGTAATAACCCTGTACCTTAAGAGTTAAGTACCACCTACACCCGAGTACTTAACAGCGGCAACGCGTTCTTAGTAGAACATTCTTCTCCGCTATTTCTCGAGAGACTCGAGACGACCGCAATTGCACGTGTACACCGCATTTCGGGTAACTCTCTAATAAAACTCTCAGTAGTACACCGAGAAAAGAAATATCATTAAAGCAAAGAAATGTTCCTTTGAATAGTGCCAAAGAAATATTTCGTTAATTCTATGAAAGTGTCATATGCACCAGAAGGTACATGATGACATGACATGAATTCGCAACTTTAACACGTGATTGTAGAGGCCCTAATGAAGGTCTTGAAACTCGCGAAATTTCATTTTTCGAAAAAAAAAAAACTTTCTTGGTACTTGTCCGGAATTCTTTTCTTTTTTTTTGAAAATTGAAATTTCGCGAGTTTTAGATTATTCGGTGCGCCCAGTTTGGAGAGAAATTTTATAAATATACGTTTTGATATGTATAGAATGACCCTTTCATATCACCTTAAGATTCGCAAAAATGACTAAAAAATTCATTATGCTTGGCATACGCCTTTCCCATCGCGGTTATTGTTTACGATAGAGGAACAAAGTTGGTGTCGTATGCAGCCGCTGCAACTTTGAGGCGTAAAATTAATAGGTTACTCTTCGTTGCCTTCGACGCGAGTTAACTCATCTCTCCCGTCCAATACCTCAAAATCCCGCAGGAAGACCTCGTCCTATCTCCTATCCGCCGGATACAATATCTTCCATATATTTCCCAGGTAACCGGTGCACTTTCTGAATATCGTCGGGATATTCCTCTGGACCTGAAATACCCGAGCTCGTATTCAAAGCGGTACAAGTAGATGCTTCTTCAATTCTCAACAGTGCCAGACCTTGGCACCGTTCAAATCGAACCGCGAAACCGATACGTCACCTCCTCGATTCCTTTCAGAAGCTAGAAATCATCGACATCGGGTTGAATCCTCCTCGGATTCCCTTTATAGGATCTCATCACCGGTCAAGGTATTCTTTCCCCTCACATTAAACGATAATTCATAATTGACCCTTAAGGGGTGTGAAATTGGCATCCGAAGGGTCAGTCTATCATGAAACTTTTTTCCGAACTGGGCCTACCGAGTCGTTTCAAATCTCACCCTATCAGCATGGAGGGATAAAATTTCATTTTTCGTAAGAATGTAAAAAATGCCAATAAAATTTTTTAATACTCTTTGACGGCACTTTCATTCCACCTTAAGTCGGGTTTAAAAATTTTTTTTTCCCTCCAATCCGATTTATATTCAAAGTAGAGGTTTTAATTTCAGAATGCGGACCGGAGGCGATCGCGATCGATCCCAATTCTGGAGGACCCGGGGGAGGAAATCAGGATTTCGGGACCCGGAAGGGCGGCGAGCGGAGTCACGGCGGCGGCGGAGCTCGGAGCGGAGCAGTCGGCGTCGCGACGGCCGCGAAGGCAGACGTGCGGCGTCTCTAACAGTTCGCGGGGTGTCGGCGAGACCGTCTCGCGATCCCCCGTCCTTTGACCCTTGGCTAGATGGGGACCAGATAACAGATGGGGGCCGAGGGTCATTTCCGGGTGACCTTGTCCATCCGCAAGGAACCGGCCGCGGGTCCGGTGTACTGCAAGATGGAGACCTCGGCGAGGTTTCGTCAACTGAAGACCGTCAAGCTCAGCTGCGAGGCCACCTACAGGGTGGACATCAGCTTCAAGCCGCCGCAACTCCTGCAGTGGGTACAGTATCGCGGTCGGCGAACTCCGTTGCACCTTGCACCCTCTTCGGGGATTGTGGCGGTCCGGGTGCCGAGGGACTTCCGGGTCTAGATTGCGGAGGGGAACCGAAATAAAAAAAAAAAAAGAAACGTTCGAGGGGGCGACTCCACCACACACGGAAATCAGTGAAAACGATTTCCTTCCTAATTACCTTTAATTAACATTATTTATTTTACCTTTGACTCCAAATGATAAACAATGCGATTCGGTAAAGAGTGGCGGTCGGCCTTAAAATTTTGCACTGAGAAAAGAATTTCTTCGAACAATGTCGAGGAAATATTTCGTTCCGCGTTACTGGCAGTGTACTGCAATATTTTCAACTTTAATTTTCGAAATATCATTATTCACTGCTGAATGTGGATTCTTTTTCGGTTTTCTCGTATCCACGCCGAGGTAGGGTTTTCCTCCCCGAGACTCGCGGGTACAAAAATTGTCCAGGACTGGTCTACGAAATTTGCGTACCACGGAAAGGGGAGAGAAAAAATGGTTTCCATGACTGTCGTTACAGCGACGGTCGTCGCGTGCGAACGCAGGGACGGCGGTGCCGCGGAGTCGCGAATTAAGGTGGAAAACACCGCACGGAATGGCTGCGGCTTGAGCGCGGAGACTTTTACTCTTTTTTCCTGGTAGTAGTGCTCGAATGTCGCAGGGGGATGATCTAAGGTGAATCGAAGACCTGAAGATCGAGGATCTACCACGATCCAGGAGATTCACCGCATCGGGTAGAGAATTGAAACACCGAGAAAAAGGGATTCATTGAACCAAGGAAAATATTCTGTTCATTAAGAGAACAACGATTCGACATAAGTAAATTGTCACAATTCCGAAGAAACGTTGCATCCATTTAATTCCAGTATTATTTAAGTCGAGCCCAATTATTCTCTGAATTAACGAGATACTTCATAGTTTCAATGAAATGTTTTTACTCAGCAGGGAAATAAGGAGTAGGAATTGAAAATGTTAATCCCAGGATCTCTATGGAGGTGGGAAAGGTACACCGTGGTGCAGGGAAACGCCATATAACATCGCTTCCAGGTTTAGACAAGGGCATAATGTGGAGGAGATATGTAAAGCAACGGCACGGCAAGGTGCAGGGAAGCTTAGGCGGCATAAATTTGAGAAAATGTCGGCGCGATACGAGTATCGCTTCTACGCAGCATTACGTTATCGCGGTATCAATCGAAGCATCAACCCTTTGAAAGGCCGATGTCTGAAAGTCACGCCAAGGCTCCACAGAGATCGACTCCACCCCGTTTTCGTCCTTGCTCGAACGAACGGTTTAAGCGTCTAATAATACTTTGCAACATCTCGAACAATCATTATCCAATTCCGAATCTCAAAATGAAGGAACTTTCTCCGATTTTCGGTCACACTGGCCTGCAGTTTCGGCACATCCGAGACGCTAACAACTGCAATTACGGGATGGTCTCCCCGTGTCGTCGGTGCATTCAGGAAAGTGCACTTGCACACGTGAGGACTGCGCTAGAATATTTCACTAGTAATTCGTACATGGGGCAGTAATGTATCTATTACGCAATGCGGTCCGAAATAACCGCAACATAGCGGGTTTCACCCAAAAAGGGTTTACACGTTTGTCATTTCTGCACTTTTCGTCCTTTCGTCCTGGGAGGTTGCTTTAAGGTGATACGAAAGGGCCATTCAATATATATATATATATATGAAACGTCAGAATATTTATAAAACTTTTCTTTAAACTGGATACCCCGACTCGTTGGAAACTTCATCGTGTGATCCTAAGGAGGGAGCTCATGAAATTTCATTTTTAATAACACATTTTTTATCTTATCCTGAAAAAAGGGGTCTTATTCAAACCGACTGATTCGAGGGGGGTTTTCATTTCACCTTAACATGGACACCGTATTTTAACTGAATATTATAGCTCGTCTTCTACAGTGCAGGTTCGCTTCCACGATCGATCCTTCCTTCGACTCGGGAAAGCTCGCGCTTCTGAAAAATTGATAGGATCGCGAATGGACCGTGGAAAGAAACGTGCTCCGGTTTGTCGGTTAACTCTCCATTATACCATATCGACTCGGATAGAAGATTAAAAGGGTGCGAAACGAGTTAACGACCGATTAAACACCCTGCAGGAGGTCCTACTACCTCTAGACATTTTTCTTCTGTACGCGAAATGAAATCGTTATCTGAGGTAATGCGGCTTGATGTTTCATCATCCGAGAGATGCATAATAAATGCAGAGGCCACGGAGGGCTTTGGAATGCTGTCTGGAGCTTTCCGTTTGAAAAGAACAATGGGAGGTGAAAGAATAAGTAGTTGAACTAGTAGTTGAAGTCCTACGGTTTACTGCAATTTTTAGTAGATTGAAAAAAAAAAAAGGAAAGCAGAGTTAAATCAACTGATTTTCTGAGTTAAGGGTTACTTCACAATTTATTCAAAGTAACCACAAGGTACGAGTGGTTTTACCGTGCTTATCATGACTTCTTTATATACTTCGTTCTTTTATTAAATTACTTTGTGGTTTTCCTGACCGTTCCTTTTTTCCGTGTAAATGGTAAAAAAAAACCGGAAGGGTTTGGACACCATATGTCATCCCAAAAGGGCTAATCGATGACAATACCGCATTTGCGAACGTTCTTCGATTCTAATCTTATCACTGAACCGCTTATAGCCTGGTCAATACCGGAAAAGTGTAGAGTCGCATAGAGGACCCTCTACCACGGCCGCGATATCGACCACGAGACTAATGAACTTTGTTCTCGGTTTTAATAATATTAATTCGACCGATACCGCGGCATCTCCATTTCCCCGAGGAGGCAGAAAATGAAATTTATTCCGGATAAAAATACAGGAACCCTCGGAGGACGTAACTCTTTCGAGGAAACGGCGCCTGGTTTATTTGCGAACCTTCTAGGGGCGCGATGCGTTATTAAACAAGATACGTTGCAAACTTGAACCCCTTCATAAATAATACGCAGGGTCTGACGGCACGAACGGCTCTACTACTTTATCTAGTGATGGACTCGAGCGACTTGTTCGACGAGTTCGACTTCCTCCACGCGGAACGTCAAACAGAGTTATTCTCAACGTAGAGTGTAAAAGACTTAATAATAAAAAAATAAAAATATCGATAACACCAAACTTATGTTACCACTTGAGTATCGAAAATGGTGTTACCACGAAAGATTATGTAGATGAATTTTACTTTATCAGCGTCGATGAAATTTCTCGCCTTAATTCAGAAAGTCAGTTGAATTTACTCCCTTCTTTTATCAGCGGAGTCATTTATTTCGAAAGGGCGAGCACTTACGAAAATCCCGGAGCCAGATTGCGGAAGTTAAGGTGTCTCGCAGTGTAATCTAGAATCCGACGAAGAAAAACTTTCGAGTTCGCCTTCGCATGGCCGATTCGAGAGCCGGGCTCGAAAGCACTTTCGCGAAACTCGGGAGAGGAAACGAGTCCGCCCGAATTTTCCGGGTTTTAAGAGAAAGTACAATATCGTCTCACCGGCGGTTCCCGTTCCCAGGATAATTTCCTTCCAAGCCGGCCCACTTTCCGACTTACCGGGGGCGGCTCGCAATTATTAAAGCGCCCTCCAATCGAGGGACCATACGGGGAGGTTACAGCGAGAACGTTTCATTGAATTAATCCGACATGTGCAGACTATCGAGACGCGGTCTAATGGATATTGGAAAACCCGAACGATCCGTTCTAAGCCCGAATTGATCGCGAACGTGCCGCTTAAGCAATGCCTATTATCAACTTCCTGGGCGGAATTTTCTTAATGAACGGACGCAAAGCCAAAGTGTGGCAAATTGCCAATTTTTAAGGAGTGATTTCAAATTTCAAGCGCTATTCCGCGTGAGGAAAAACGATTTAGACCGAGGGTATATCCACGCAGAAAATCGTGGATTTTATCGCTTGAAATCATGTGAAAGAATTCACTGGAAAACATTGGAAATGACCGGAATATTTTTGCAATTTTAGGGTCGAACGTCATTTGTTGCCGAATCGCATTGTTGTTTGTCATATGAAATGTAAGGAAATCGGCTCTCGAAGAAGGGAATTGTTTTCACGGATTTTCAAAATGAATAGCGTCTCGATTCAGATAATGACACGAACGACGCCTCCGGGGCGGTTCGGGGCGTCGTGACGCCTGCCGCAAGATCATATTCCAGTGATAAATAGCTCGATCGCGAGGCAATAAGGCTATTGGGATTTCCAGCAATTGGAACGCCCTCGATGCATGGAAAGCTTTTAAGAATTGCCAGGGTGTCTAGGCCAGTCGATGGTATTTACATCCCGGGATGTACCCTACATACGAGCTGATACCCCTTCGCGTGCATTGTCGAAACCAAATGCGGTATCGTACTGATATCGGCATTTTTAATGAAAAAAAAAAAGAAGTTAATTCTCATTTTTAATATTAAATCCCCTCCGTTAAGGCAATGATACGCCAAAGCTGGAAAATTTTCCACGCACACCCTCAGCCCGGTTCAGGGTCGACGATTAAAATAATTGGCCGAGTTCGTGCTAAGATTTTAAGATCTCGGCTTGGAGTAATGGTCATTTCTTTTTTTCTTTTTTGCGAATCAATAATTATGTTTAGCACGGAGAGAGCTACGCGCCAAGGGCCGCGGCGCATTAAAAAATGCAAATCCGGAGGAATATCGGAGTGGAGAACGACGTCGGCAATGAGACGATCCCCCCAACGATATCTAGCGTTCCCAGTGACGATTCCCCCGAGCTTCATTTGTAGCGAGCTTTTAAAGTAAGCCGTCACCGTTGAATATATTCCCGTTTATGCCGGGATTATTACTCATGAATAAAAGACGACCATTCACGGAACTCGAAGACTGGGTCGAAATCGATTCCGGATAGAGAACAGCCTTCGTGCCATGGCTGGTCGACTCGTCAGCTTAGGGGATTCTATGTGATAATCGAGCCTCGACAGATGATGCCTCTTATCACCGTCAAAACATACTGATACTGGATCGCGCATCGCTCGGGCCGATAACACGAATCGAAACGGAAAGCTTTGCCGGTGGAGAGGGATCCTTGCGATCGGTTCGGTTGATCCTTTCGCTAAATCTCGATTAGTCGCGTAACCGAATGTACGTATCGATTCGCAGGTCGCTGAGAATAGGTGGTAAGCAGGTGGAGGCGATTGAACGAGCACGGGACGGGACGGCCTGTGCCTACAGTGTCTATCACAGTACAAAAGGAATACCTCCCAGTGCCAGGGGGCACCGAGAGGACCTGCAGATCGCCATGCTGGTTCTGGGATCCGGGTACCTGACGACTTGCCTGCAGATCAAGTACTACAGGTAGAGTTACTATCGCGTTACATTGTCCAGGTGACTTGCCCGAGAACGAGAACATAACCGACGGCTAAATTATCTGCGAATCTATGAGAATTGAATTTTTTTTTAATAACATTTAAGTGATTTCCAATATCGAGGGTTTATTATGAGAAATTTCAATTATATTTCCGAAAGTTCATTTTACACCTCAGCGCTCCGCGATTTACGGAACAATTGACGGATGTCTCCGCCGTGGAGTCAACGGAGCGCCGAGGGTTAAATATGAATTTTCAGAGTTCTCTTAAATTCTCCCTCGAGTTCTTTAAGGATTTCTAAATTATCGGGAAATTCTCGGTTATAATACTTGCACTTAAATTCTCGGGAATTTAAAAAACACACTGACTACAGGGCCGACGACCAGGGCCACTGCGAGTGGGGCTCGCGGCTGCACTGCATAGAGCTCGACTGCACGAGCGTGGAGGGAAGATTGGTAACCGTCGACCGGGAGACCTACAGGAAGCTCGGGATAGAATCTTAGCGAAGTGCGCTCCCGGATCTCAAGACCGTAAGGAAATTATCTCGGACGCATTTATTTTAAGATGCAACGAGAGGGTTACCCGCGGGCGCGCAAACAAACGAACATGTACTTGGTCGCGGCGGCTCGTCCAAGGAGTTTTCACCTCCACCTCTGATTCCGAACGCCCTGCAATATTACATTGACTCGCACACGTTAGCCGAAACTCCTTGGATGAATTTCGACTTGAACATTTTCCAGAGGGTTGCTTTATCAATCTTTCTGCCCTAGGCTGATAAGGTATCAGTCGCGGAGTCGTACATGTACATAGAGGTTTCATACGCGTATCGAGGTACTTTCCTCGACATTGAATTCCGGCGGTGCAGTGTACTCCCAGACCCCATAAACACGTGGAAGATGTCTCCGGGAAGTTTATTTTAAGTGAGGTATACCGTACGCCCTGGAGGAAAGAAAATATTTTCCCACCCTCAGCGTCTCGTTCACTGTTTCTCTCAATTATCTTGTTTTTCCTCAATGTTTCTAAACTCTTCCTAAAAGCCCCCAGCTACGAGAAATATTCGATCCTTTACCCCCTTACGTTAACTGCGGAGAGCTCGACGACGAAACCTCGGACGGACGCTTCGCAGATGGCGAAGTAATTTTCATTTTTCTTTGACGTTTCGTCCGCCGCTTCCGCTTTCGCCAAGCTTACGGTAGCCGTTGCTCATCCTTGATGGAGATTTATTTTCGGCATGACCAACAAGAGCGGAGTATTAATACGCGTTGATCGCGTATCCTTCGGTCCGGTTCTCCGAATCTACATGTACCATATGAAGTCACGGTAAAGAAGCAGAAGTGCCGGTGTCTACATCGAAGCGATTAATATTTAAAAATATGCTAGGTGCTACGAAAAAAAAAAAAAAAAAAAATCGCCTCTAATTCTTCTTACATATCTGCGTAACTTGTCTTTGGCCGGGAGTTTTTTGCAAATCGCGGCTCAGCTGGTCACGTGCAAACGAGTATTCGCGTGCTTAATCGGGACATATCGACCAAACGGTGGAACATTTCGATATCTGAAAGTAGTTCGCATTTTTTTCCTTTTTTTTCTTTTTTCTACGAGACTTTATATTATTCTCGACTAATCGTAAAACTTCTGCGAGCAATTTTCTCATGCTACGTCCGGTCCTTCTCGACGGAGCCATCGGATTCATATCGGAATTCGATGCCAATTACGAGACTCGGTGACGTTTAACGTTTTACGAATCTATTGTTGATAGTACGGAACATAAGTAATATATTTAAGGCATGTCTGCGGCATTTGACATAGGCATTGTAACGAAATTCCTTTTTAAATTATCTTTTCGTAGATGAACTTATAACGGATCGTCATTCGGCATGCTTAAAAATAATTCAATGGTCTCCTTTTCCTCTACTTATAAATATCTTTAACGCACTAACTTATCTGCGGTATTAACAATTACCATATGAGCACGACAATTTCGTTACAGTGAAAGCAACGAATAAAGGACTTACGAGTAGGTACGATGTGTGTTAAAAATCTGCCGATCGGTATGCAAATATATCATTTTATACGAATTTGTCATTAGTAAATCTTGTACACGTACATACACATATATACATACACATTCGTTATCTCTATTAATGCCGCTAAAATTAATGTTTGTATGAATTGTAATGCCTCGAACACAGATGCACAATACAAGAAACTTTAAACGCGATGCTGGAAAGTCATTGTCAAGGTTCGTTATGGAAGTATTCGTTGTAATTAAGGATCACCTGTATCAATTATGAGATTATAATTACGACACGCTTCAATGTGATTAACATATCGTAGAAATGTATGAGTACAAGCAGCTGCTTTTAGTGAAGATCGTTTTTACATGTAAAGAAATAGTAAACATTTGAAATTACCATTTAGTGCCTCTTTCTGCTTGACACGTATACATATTATACATTTGCACACCACATCGTTCCTATTTACAAAATATCAAATTTTATACTAACTTATATATAGCATAACGCGTATAAGCTGTAAATGACAGTAAAATAAAATCGTAATTGACCAAGTTTCTTCTTTTGTCTGTCCAGAACATTGAAATAAAAACCTAATCACCATCACAGTTCTGGTTGAACATAATGCAACAATTGCTCCACTAGTTTAGGATTGTTTAGCCTCTCGACCTGTGTTCTCATTTTGATAGCGAGTGCATCGGTACGTTTTAGATACATTGCGGAATGATGCAAGGCAATTAAGAATGGAATCGGAGACCATTCCTTTTGGATTGTTCCTCTGACGAGAGCAGTCATGTAGGAATTTATTAACGACGTGTCCTCTTCAAGAGGGAACAGATACTCTTTCAAAGGTACAATGAGTTTATCGGAGGGTAAGCGTAGAGACCTCAAAGCTCCAGCATGCTCCGACCATAATAATTTCCTGTAATGTACATCATGCCTTTGTGCAATGGGTACCAACAAAGCAGCTGCAAATCCCGAGTCGCCATACGAAACGCCACAGAAGTGTTCGCACAAAGCAGTATACAAATCCGTGAAGGAGCTCAATCCAGGCACTTCAACCGTAAAGTCAATCTCCTCGTAATGCTTTTTAACCAAATCCGAAATAGCCTGCGAAAGCAGTGCAGACACATTTTTGTACAAGAATAAAGTGTCGCATAAATATACCAACAAGAGTCTACTGAATCTCAAATTGGGGGACAATCCTTGATTTAATTCTGGCAATGTCAGCTCGAGACTCAACAAAGTGCTAATGACCTTTCTGTCATTTTCGTTGCATTCGTAACCCTCTTTGCACTTGGCATGGAGGTTTATTAATGGCAGATACAGCCAATCCTTTGGCATCGCAGCCTGATTCCAACTGCCATTTATAGAGACGTAGACCTCGTAGTATGCTACCAAATTATATGGTAAGTCGAGTTCAATGATTCCCTCTTCTACGTCTAAATTTAATCTGCTCAGGACGTTTGACAGGATCCCTATTTTAAACTTCTCTATGGGCAAGGCAACTCCCAGCATTTGCCTGACATCTTGCGGAGCATCTGCTGGCAACGCTGCTACAAGTTTAATAGCTAATTTCCATATAAGCTGTTTCAAAGCGTCATCTAAGTCGTCTCCTAGAAGAATTCCGCATTCGACGATAGCTGTTAACAGCCCAAGTTCTATTCGCGTGAACCAGGATTTTTCCAAGCACCATTGAGTCCTTTCGAGTCTTCGAAGGTAGCCAATAAAATCGGGTACACTAAAAATTCTACGCAATTCCGTCTTGCATAATGACTTGCTATAAACACTTAATACCGTTGACAGAAATGGGATACAAGACATCGGGGATACCACTGGTTGCAATTTTCCACCTTCGGTAAGGACTCCGAGACTGGGAAGAGATGATGGGTCTCGTTCACTTGGCAACGCAAACCCACTGAGTAAATTTGAAGTTGCACTGCGAGAAAAATAGGATTGTTTTCATCATTAATTGCGCGGAACATTTATCCATGATCATAACTTTACTTTATACAACGGAGAAGAAACTTTGTCGCTTAAGGGAACTATACTTTTGAAAGTAATTATAACTTACCAAAGATTGGAGAATATCTTTATATTTGATATCCATGATGGGTTCATGAACGAGATGTCATCAGCACACAATAAAGTTTGGGCAATTAAAATTGTACTGCATCGCTACAAAGATAATATATAATAATGACGTTCTGTGACATCTAGGATGTTAATCTTAAAAACAGCACTCGATTGGATAACTTGTATTTAATATTTTATAATTCAAGCTTGGAAAGGGACTTACAGTAATTACAGATGCTGATGCTAACTGAGTACTCCACTTGAATAGTAAAGGTGTAATGAATCGTTTTAACGGCGACTCATGAGCAGCTATGAGTACAAGAGCAACTGCATATTCGCAAGTTAATTCAGAAGCATCTTCAAGGTTGTTGTTACATAAAAGTAATTGTAGTTGAGATATTAGTGTTAATTGTGCACCACTGGTGCTGTCTAAAGACACCTTATGCTTCAGCAAAATGTTCCATAACCTTAAGCTTTCGATGCGCACATGAACTCCATGTTGACTAGAAAAAAGTAAAAATCAGACATAAATACGAGACAATATAAAATGTTCACATTTTATACACACCTCGTGTCACAATTTATGTATGACAAAATAGAATGCATTATTTTCATATTGTCCAGTTTCTCAGCAACTACTCTCCCAGCATATGTTACTAAAACACGACACAATCGAATCGCAGCAGCTACTGGAACTCCGTACGAATTATCAATCTTGGCTTGGTTTGCTGCAATTTTAAGACATTTCAGGAAAGCACTAAAAAGAATCAACGACTTTCTTTGTAATATTAGTAAAGGATGTTTTGTTCTTCAGACACTTACTTAATTTGTCAGTAGATAATGGTATAAAATTCTGAACAATAGTTTCCAAGAGATACGGAAAATTTGCAATATCCAAAGCAACTTTTTGCGAATGTCTCGCAAGACGTGTTAAAATGTCCAATGCAGCTATTACTCCAATTGGAGGTGGATGTATTTCACTGAGAATATACCTGAAACAGAGACTCGATTATAATTTCAAACTGTTACACAATTAATAATTTTTGTAAACAAAACCTTGAATACACAAAGATGAGGTTATTAACACACACGCACCTTATCCGCATAACAATTTCAGATCTTAAAGCAGTGGCAACGGTATCAATCTGTGCCAACTCATGATCTTTTAAAGCACTTGTATCAGTTACATCCGTCGGTGGAGGTAATAATATAGGTTCTGAATAATAATTTGAAGCCAGCAGTTTATCTAAACATACTTCATCCACTTCACTAAACAAAAATGCTCGTAATGCTTGCAACGTTGCCGTAACTACGGCCACAGATGTGTCATCCAAAGAAAATCTTAAGAGCAGTAAAAGGTTTCGTTGATTTAATGTTGATAATAGGCTTGGTTGCAGTGCTTTGTCATACCAACCCTTCCGAGTATTTTCCATAATATTGGCTAATGTATTAATAGCAGTACATCGCTGCTGTGGAGTTGACGAACGACTGAGTTGCAGCAATTCTTGAAGGGAATATCCTGGGCGATCAGGTTCTTCACCGTGATGATGAAGACCTTTATCTACTGTAAGGTTTTTGTCTTTATATGGAAGCAATATACCTACACAGAAAATATAAAGCCCCTGTTAATTTTCAACCCTATTGGATTTCTTGTAATATGAATGCTCACCTTTAAAATTGAACCTTGCATTATATGGTTCTTCAGGAAGAGGATCTTTATTATTTTCAGTGGGTAAATCTTGCATCCACTTTAATTTTTCAGGTTCAATAGTATCCATATGAACCCAGCCTTCCTGCTTGGCTGTCTCAAACATTTCTACGGAAGGTTTTGGCAGTTCATTATTGTTCGTATTATTTAATTCTTGATCTGAATCGATGCACATATTTTCGAGATTTGTGTTACATTGTTTTACATCAGAATCCTTCACAGATTTAGGAATCTTATGCGATTCTAGGACATGACTCGGTGAACAAGTGCTTGGCTCTGAATCTATCGTATGTTTTTCAAAGTGAAGACTTTCTTTCATATCATTTTGCTTTCTTTTCCTATTCTTAATAAATTCTATCAAATCTGGGCTTAGAGAAGCTTCCAACTTTGCTTTTTCTTGCAGAATGTCTTCTTTGCTCATGGAATTTAATTTTTGAACACTTAACTCGTGGATCTCGTTCGCATCAGGTATATTGCTACTTTCCTTTGTATCAATATTTCTTTTTTCGTTCAGCTTTTCAACATCTGCTCGTTTTCTCGATACTTTCTGCCAAAATAAACTTTTCCCACCTTCTGCACTCTAGAAAAATAACACCCAAGATACTTCCGACAGTAGAGTAAGACGGTAAAATAAATGCCATTTAAAATGTTTGCCTTTCGAGCAAAAATATTTAAACGATTTAGAATGGAGACATAAACATCTAAAATGTTAAGAAAATACCTTGTTGTCAGAGACAAAGGCTTTTGGAAAGCCAGATTCTGGAATATCAGGAGATAACCTAGATACCATTTTAAATTCATATTTTTTAGCGTCAAACTTCCTTTCAATAACATTCCCAAGAATTACACTCGACGGCATCGCGGGTACATTTTGTATTGCGTCAAACATTCCTCCGGGTTCAGTATTTTTAACATCCATTTTTGTTTTAAACTTCTTACTCTTCCAATCTCATATACTAGTAAACAAATACCACCTCCTCCAAAAACGGAGAGCTACTCCGTGTTTATATACCTTCAAGTAATCATATCACTAGATGGTGCAACTCATGCAGAAGATTTAGCAAACTGAAGAATGTATATAATTTTACTCTCGGTTCCGAGATGGCATAAACCATTGACGCATCATTTTTGTTATAATTATAATTTAACCGAAGTTTAATTATTGAACCGAGTTGGCACATTGGGAACAGTTTCGGTAGTGGGCAGCATGGTGGCGGTAGTGTGCAGGTAGCGTTAATCTGGAACATGGATACTATCTGTTACTCTGCTACTCTGTAAAATAACCATGCATTTGACTAGCTGTTTAATCGTAAAATGATCTGACACTTTTTCAACGACAAAATAAGTGTTATTTAATTCTTAAACATTCTTTGGAGTTTCAACGATGGAATTCGGTGAGGTGTACGGAAAGGAGACGTCGTATGTAGGCATTGGTACGTATTTATAAAAATAGAGTATTAAGTGACCGACTTATACGAATAAGTTCAATATTTTTGGAGTTTACGGTGTGATTGCGTTTGATTTTAGTGTGGCAGTCGATAGCACGCATCGGATGGTACTTGGTTGGAATTTCCCTAGTTTTAATTTACACATTCCCGTACATACAGGAGAGATATCAACGGTGGAGGCTTAAGAAGGATGAACAAGAATACAGTGCTAAGTACCATAAAAGTATGCCGTACTCAATTAGATTTGAATATTTAAATTATCATTGAATTTTTTATATTAATCTTTATTCTGTTACATTACTTGTCTTTCTACAGATCCAGATATGCTAATGGAGAGGCTTGCTGGTCTTGAAGCTGCACGACAAAGAATGCAGGAAAAGTTCAACAGGGATCTTGAATTGGCGCGACAAAGAGAAGCAGAGGTTAGTGGTATTATTGCATTTATTGTAGCAATACGTCATAACTTGAAACTTATGGTATTTAATTTTCATACTCAGAAACAAGAAAAAAAGAGGCAAGAATTACTAAACCTTACGAGTAAGCTGAATGTTGGTAGATCATTACGGAGTTCTGAAAACGAGCCTTCGACATCTTCCGAATCGAAATCAGAGCCATATAAGAAAGGTAATTTTAATATATATTAGTAGGTAATGGCATTTATTATGAGATAGAGTTTAATAGTCTATTAATAACTAGAGATAATTCTACTGTGAATTACGTACTACGATCTTTAATTTCGTAGAGTATAATCCATTAACGGGAGACGCAGCTGGTTGGTATCGTCCTCCGAAACGAAGTTGTTGTCGAAAAGGTGGTTGCGGTTAATGTAATTGTGATTTCATAATGCAGTACAACTGCAATGGATGGTAAAGGTAACATCACTTTCTGAAAGACACAGTCGTATTATCGGTTATGTATTAATAGGAAGTATCGAACTTTACTAATGAAATAAATATGGGTCTTAAATACTCACTACATTAATTTATAAGACTGGCGATTCATATATACATATATTATAAATAATCATGTGATACGCAGATCTTTTCATTTTCAAGTGTCCAGTTGATGGCGAAGCAATGCATAATAGGAATAGGTTGCTCTTAATATCTAGAAACAGTTTTTAAGTAGTTAACATTTTTTAAAATAAATATATAACGTTTAAGAAATAATTACCCAAACTAGGTTGCTCAAACCAACTTTCTTGATCTTGTAATTAGTAATCACTGCAGGTCTCTGGGCTCTTTGTATAACCATGGCAATGTCCTTCTGTACTTTACAAGAATGTAATTCCCACTTCGACATATACAAACAATGTGCGATCTGCATACTCTGTAAGACGATGAATCTAAGACGTATCCAAAGGACATTCTAACATGGTTTTAAATTATTCATAGTTTTAACTATACTCGAAGTGACAAAATTCACCACACAATATTTAAACATACCTCGTGAGCCATCATTTCGCAGAAAAAGGTAGATAATGAGAGTTTCGTGAAACCTACAACTAGATACCCAAGATAAGCATTATTGGCAAGCTGTAACAAAGTAATGGCCCAATAATAAAGTGAACATTCAATCTCGTTGGGAATGAGACTTGATAAAAAAGTAATTTACTTTCGTGGCGTGTAGCATCGAAATCCCGAAAAGTAAAAGACAGCCTATCAGTTCGGTCAACATGATTACGTTGAAGTGAGCATCTACTTTTGAAGTGAATCTGCAGAATTGTTATTCATCAGTCCTGGAGTCCAAATCTTGCCGATGATATTTAATATTTCTCGAAGGTGAGACTTACTTCAAAATCTCTTGATGACGCTTTACGCAATCCTTGAACATCTCCTTGAATGCAGTCATTTTGGCAAAGCTCTTAACATTCGGAATAACATATATTTTATTCCAGACTACTCGAATGCCTTCCCTTTGCACACTTCCAACAGTTGCAGCCTCGTCAACGATATCTGCGAAGTCGTGCTGCATTTTTTTAAAATAGCAGACACAGTGCATCGATATGGATATCAATAATACATCGATCTCTGTCTCCACAAGTACCACGTGTAACCCAGCGAGCATTTCGTACGCGTAAGTGAGATTATACTGAAAAGGGTCGTTGAAATTGAAAGGCAAGCTCGTATGGAAGGGGAGAAGCTTTCCTTGGATTTTGACATTTGGATAAAAAAAGATCCAAACGACAGGAGCAGTGCCGACGAGAGTTGCAGCTGCCACGAATATTCTGACGAACTTCTCCGCCGTCTTTTGACGTTTAAACAAAATTTCCGCTGTCTGGAGGTCTTCGTTGATGCCTTGATTTACGGTGACGAAAATCGAGGCCTTTAATAAAGCTATTACGGTGATGTAGGTCGCCGGGAAAATCTCGATGAAGTCGGTGAACCCACAGGACGTCATGTACAGATTAAACGCATCGTAGAGGCACAAAACTAACATCATGTAGACAATTCTACAATATAGCCGGTGGATTCCTTCTATCAGAGTGTCCGAACTCTCCAAAGCCATCAGGCCCAGACCTTTTAGGATCACGATATTCGCGGTCAATATGGCCATTTTGAAAATGGAAATTAAAAAATGGATTCTCGAACTCTTCGCCAGAAACACATGTAGGCGACTGCAAGGCTCGGGAACTCCGAAATTGGATTTTCTGATACTTAATGTCGGGAAGAAAGTTGCTCGTTGAATATTGAACATGTACTCTCACGCAATTCTGGTAAACACTGGTGTACGGTAATTACATGGAGGAGAAATTACCGAAAAGTTTGGGAACATCGTTAACGTTTGTGGTTTCTTCGAGTAGGGTACTTTACGTGCAGGGGAATGGTTAATTCGGTCGACGTAGGGAAAAGGCGAAGAGCTGGTCAAATTTTTAACATTACTTTTATTAATCGTTATCGGTATAATATGCAATGATATACAGTGCATCCTCCCGAGGACTCGACGAGGGAAACCTCTCTCCTAGGACTTTGTTAAACTCTCTCGAGGTCTTTTGCAAACGATTGTTCATCGATTTTCAATGACTCACCGATCGAGGAGCGTATTTCGGGGAATGTGCGAGAATTAGGTTCCGGATTTTTTTTTTTTTATGCATTTATATGACGCTCCCTGGGACGAGTCTCCGCAAAGATGCGCCGTGTATTTATGTATATGTACGTATTACTTGACAATAGCGATTGTTATAAATTATCTACAGACGCCGTGTGTGCGTGTGACGTATGTATGCACGTGTTTATGTATAGTCGTGTGTCCTTTGCAGGTATTTTTCACTTCGTTTATCAGCCGTCTTCCCTGACTGTCGTTCTTCCCCATCGTCGGCCGAACGTTCATCACCGTTTCGTTAATAAATAAATCTTACCTATATGAACATGCTCTCTCTCTCTCTCACCTTCCCGCAGTATTTACATAACGCAAAGTGAAGAAGTCGTATTAAATAATAAACACTCGTCAGCCGCTACTCGCAATCTTGAAACGCAATCGGTGCAGCCCTTTTGCGAAACTCGATCATCACTCTTCCTCATTTAATCGAGGAAATCGGTCCTTAATCCGAATCCTTAATGATATGGATTTCCACGCTTATCATGGCACTAGTGCTCTAGTAGCCGAGCTTATCGTCACTCACTAATTCCGGTGAAATTTCCCGATTCCCGAACTAATCGATGCATTTTTTATGCATTTGAACGATGATAAAAAAATCAATGCTCATCCTGAGGGGAAAAAAAAAAATGTTGAACGAAAGAAACATTTCCTCGAATAGTGTCAGAGAAACATTTTGTTAACTCGAATAAGTTGAGTGTAATATTTTCTCGGGATTGTGAGAATTTATTTGAGTCAAATAAGTATTCCTTGAATTAACGAAATATCTCTTTGGTACTATTCAAAGAAATACTTCTTTGGTTCAATGGCATTTTTTTTTTTTCAGTGCAACGTTTCTTCTTTTATCATTTATAGCGATAAAAGGGGACTTCGTTGGAATCCCAGATGAACAATGAGAATTATGGCTATTTTGGAATTCGAGATTTGGGAGATTTTCCGAAAACCTGGCAAAATTTGACGATGCTAAATGCAGTACTTTCGTCGAGGGTTTCGTTCGCAGGACCATATCACGATTACTGGCCATTTATTCGATTTAGTGATTGCATATCTCATTACCGTAAAAACGGCGACCACTAATTCCCTCGTGCGACTCTTAAACCGAAAACCCTACCGTAAAAAATGGAGGGTCATCCGGACTTGACCCGAGTGTGCGAACTGCGCGACTATTCAACACAAGGCTTCCTTCCGCATTTAATTTAATTTAATTTAACTCGACCGAATTACACGACTATATTTTACAAAATCTTCGAACCATCGGGTCGATCACACAAAGATGGGAAATTATAAAAATAATACATTATGTTCCTCTTCCGCGTAGACTCGATGGTTCTCCCTCGACCGCCGCGAACTCTTATCGCAGGCCATGATTATCGGCCAGAAAGTGTACGTACTAATTAACAGAAACCCGAATTGATTACTGAAATGTATGAGAATAATTGCGAATTATTATCTCTCGCATCACGGCAATTGTTAACGTTTATAGTACGTACAAGTCCCAGTCGATCGTCCCAAATGAAAGACGAGATCTTCACGTTGTGCGCGCTTATGGTTAACTAATAAACACGCCATGATGTTCATATAATGTACATCTAATGTATATCATACGTAGGGTAAAGGGACGTTGCTCTATGATACATTATGCAGTGTAGGATACTCGACATTAAATGTACATTCTATCATGGCGTGATTATCAGCCATTAATCCTATTCTACACATGTTGCAGTCACACTGGCCAAGGCTTGGAACTTTTCAAAGACGTTTTCCTCTTCCGAAAAGTTCCCAGCCGGAATCACGGCGAAACGATTATCTCCTATTTATTACCTTTTGCCTGTTTGGATGGACTTTTATAAATATTTAACTCGTTACTTTTACGATTTACCGCGCCGTAAGTGTAGCCCCGTACCATACGTGTATGTGTGTAACGTCTTCGAAGAATAACGTCCAATGGAATTTCGAGTCGTCGGTAATTAATTATCGCGTTTCTTAAAATTCAACAGTGACCAATTTTTCGGATTCTAAATACGGATTAGCATTTGCGCATCGGTGTTGATGTCGTATTATTTTTTTTTCTGTCCGGCCATTTTTTCGGAGTCGCGCTTAAAAATGGCAGTGTTTTAATCAGGGCTAGTATGATAGTTTCTGTTTAAGACCGTCGTCTCTGTACCAGTTCTCGATACGGTCTAACGATATTATCTCAGTACGTCTATCGGGCAGTTAATTTTACCTAGTACATTAATTAATTACACCGAATTTTGAGCGATTACATGGCTTCAAAGTTACCTACCTCTTACCTAGAACCTGTGTCTTTAACCACGTGTTTTACATTATAGTACGAAAACCACTGTGGATGTCACTATCGTATGTCTAATTTAAACGGCATTCTCACATTATTCCCTTTTTTTTATTTCATCCGTAAACGGCATCAGACGTTTCGTCTAAAGAAGGTCTCTTCTACAGTGGGTAACAACTCAACGAGAGCGGCCTTAAGGCGATATGAAACGTCCATTTTATGTATACCCAAACGTCAAAATATGTACAAAAATATACTCCAAACTAGGTGCACCGAATCATCTGAAACTTTAACACGTGATAACAGATGTCCTAATGAAACTCGGGAAATTTCATTGTCGAAAAAAAAACCCTTTTTTTAATTCTTGTCCGAGAGAACAATTTTTTTTCTCGTAAAAAATGAAATTTCGTAATTTTCAAGACTTTTATTAAGACCTCTATAATCACATGGTAAAGTTTCAAATTATTCGGTGCACCCAGTTTGGAGATTAATTTCATAAATATTTCGACGTTTGGTAGAGCGACCCTTTCGTAACACCTTAAGGTTGCCAATGTTTGCCTCCCGTTAATTTACTTATCTTTTACAATTTAACGAATAATTCACTGTGCATCTGTCGGCAAGCACCTCTGTGTGTTAAACTTTCGAGTGGTTAAACCAGGGATGCGCATGAAAGGTCATATTTATACGAAGTACCGGTGGTTACACGAGTTCCCTAACATCCCTTACTAACTACCGCGCATGTAATTATTAACGACGTGTAAATTAATGGCTAATGACTAAACTTGTTAATCGACTTTGTACAATGTATACAAAAACCATTTGATATGATTATACACCTTACGCGCTTATTGTTACTCGATTACCTTATAGCTTAGCATTACAAGTATTCGTTTTGGAAGAGATACACGTCGATTAGGTCCGTCTCGAGACGAATCGGTTATCGTTACTTTTCCTTACGGCTTAGGAACGTTTTATCGAAAATAATGTCCGTCATCTCTCGTGGCGGCGATCAATGTACAGGCTTTTGAAAATAAACGCCACTTTCCACGAGGTCAAAATCGGCTCGGGGAGATTCTTCCGATTGGCGCAGCTGCCATCTCTTCGAGAACTCAAATCATCGACGAATCCGACCCCGGAATTAATTTCGGTTTGATTAGGTGTGAAGTTGTCCGCGGTACTTGACGCGACACTTGCAAGTGTCTATCACGACCCTAAAAATGGGTCCTCGGTATTGAAAATTCCGACAGGTCGACTGTATCAGCGATTATCATAAATGCTTAGATATCGCTTGATACCGGATATCACCTCGCTCCTTGACCGAGAACATCCTGAACAACATTAACAAGGGCGCCTGCGTGGACAAATTCTCAGGTCGGAGGTCACAGCGAAAAGCTCGCAGTCTCTTACACATGTAAATGGCTAAGGAGACGGTGTTAGTGATAATAATAATTGAAATAAAATCGCAATTAAGGAGAAGCACATCTTCCATTCAGAGCGGTTCGCGCGTAAAAACTCGAGTATTGCTCAAAATTGGCATCGCTCGTAGCTTTGGAGTGACCACGACAACAATAGTGGTAACAAGACGAAGAATGGCGACCGCTAAAAGTCAGATCTTTATCAGTCTATCTCACAAGAGGAAAAGGGGACTCTCTCTCTTACTAGGTCCTTATCACGAGGTTCTGGCAGCGCTTTTGGGGTGTTTTTCCTTCTAGCATTGCGCCAAGGATGTCCTTCCTTGGCTCGGTTTCGTAACGAAGGCAAGTCAAGGTACTATCGACATTGGATTTGAGTAGGGTACCGATTCAATGAAACACGGCGAAGCCTTTGTAACGAGGATAAATTACAGCCACGTTTCGAAGTCCTGATCTATATGTCTTAGGAGCTGATCCTTGCGCGATCGACGCGGCACCTCCATACCGTGATAAGAGATGTGCAGCGAAATTGATTACCTAATCGATGGAGCACCCGCTTCTGTCTACACTTACAACGGTACGGATGACCACCGGATCGGCATAATTCTAAGGACGTCCCTATGGGCCGATCGGCAATATCTAGAACCTCAAGGGTAAGGTCGACGATCCAATAGGAGCTTGTTTCCGGGAAACGTTCATCGTACAGTTTCTCTTCTCGACGAGGAGCGTCCTTTTAGAAGCTTCCACGAGGAGCGACCTGGGGCAAGTCCTGCACTCGTTGCGATCGAAGGCCTTCCGTAAACCCTTGGTTCCTCCCAGAAACCTTTAGCTTTCGCGATGATCGCTCAGTCGGCTGGACTCCGAAGTGGGGTTTGGATTGTTGCCGCTCAAGAAGACGCTGTTGAGCTTATTGTATCTCTGGCTTCCCGAACTGCTCATGGTATTCGACGCCGAGGAGTTGTGCTGAGGGTAGGCCCCAGTCCTTGGGAAACTAGGCACTTTGTCTGGAACCACAATGGACAATGAGATTAGATCAAGCCGACCTTAAGGAAATCGAAAGCAGGGTCATCATGGCCAACGGCAAGTTCACCTTTGCTGCGGTTGTGCCTCAGTCTTTCCTGAGAGTTTGCTGGACCGCATTGTCTCTGAGGAATGCACGAGTAGTTGCTGTCGCTGCTGTAGGTAGGGGAGGAGGTCCTGTTGTTCCTCCTGCGAGGACTGCGATTGTTCCTGCTCCTGGAACCGCCCCTGTTGTGCGTGCACCCCGGCGCGAAGTGGTTGTTATATTCCATCGTGTCGGCGTACAGGCAACTGGACTCCGAGCAGGAACAACACATGTCGGAGTGGGTGTTGGAGTCGCAGGACTTCCGGTCCCACTCCTCGTTCTCGGGTTGGTAGAGGGCGTCGTTCCGGAACATCTCCTCGTTGTGGCGGTAGACCTCGTCGTTCAGGGTCGTGTGGTCCATGTGAGAATTCGGGTGGTTCACGCGGTTGAAGCTGTCGTGGTTCCTGTACTGCTCCTCCGTCAGTCCGTTCTGGTGGCCGTAGATTACGGACCCGCTCTCGTACTCGTTCTCCTGGGTCTTGAAGTCGTAGTGGTTGAATCCTTGCGGGAAGGACGGCACCGGAGGGGGGTTAGTCTGGGGCGGGAGGGTGGTGTATCTTCCTTGGGGCATGTTTCCATGGTTTGCGGGATCTAGCTGCGTCGGCCCGGTCCACGGAGTTGGCGACGACGAGAAGCTGTTGCCCACTCTGACCGGAGGGGTAGGTGGGCTCTGAGAGTTCCCCGACGCCGAACCGTCCAAATCGTTCTGCGCGTTCCTCTTTCCTAGATGGGGGCTGAAGGCAGCAGCCTGTTGCTGCACCCTGGCCACTAAGGATGTCCCCGGAGGGGGAGGATGCTCCGGTGGAGGTGGCAGCATGTCACACCAATTCGGCAAGTTCTGCTGTTGGGTCTCTGTGGGTGGGATCCTGTACTGGGGTCTTCTCTGGATCTCCATGTTCTCGTCGGTGTACACGCTGCTCGCGTTGTCGCTGCTCGGCGACATCGTCGACTTGTTGTGGTCCTGATTCGAGTCCAAGCTCGAGTAATCGGGCTTCACGCAGGAGTCGCTGGAGTTGGATTTCTGCCCACTCGTCTCCATGGAGTCGGGACTTCGGTTGCCTACGCACAACGTGGTCGTTGCATATGGCTCGGGAGGAGCTTGCAGTTGCTTCCTGGCATTGTAGAAGGTAGTCAAGTTGACCTCGGCATATTCGGACCCAGCCATGCTGACGATGCCGGGGGCGATCATCTGCTGGTTGTTCAACAACTTCGTTTCGCAGTCTTTGTCGGTTGAACCTTGAAGCGTGTTCGTGGGCCGCCATCCACGTTCCAGCCACAGGGTGTCTTTGTTCAGCTGGCAGATATCGTTGGCCGTTCCCACGGGGACGTTCAGGTGCCCCAATTGCTTGCTCATCGCCTGTCTCCGGCGGACGTAGAGTGCTCCTAGGAGGGCAGCGACCACGGTGAACACCATCGTGATCATCAGGATCAGGAACCAGGTCTCTCGAACCACGGAAATCCCCCCGTGACTTGGATCCGTTCTAGGAGGCAATTGCGTAAGTTGACCAGGGTCCATGTTCAGCAAAGTTGGTGACGAAAATGGACCAAGACCGGCACGAGTCAATCCAGCGACTCTAGCCGTATAAAGACCACCGGTGGTCAAGCTGTTGATGATCACGGACGTCGTGGATGCGTTCAGCGACATTTGCCCCAGGATCTTGTTGCTGCTGTTGCTCTTTATCTGGATCTGAATCGGAGGTAGTGGGATTAGAGGAAATCCTGCCTGGTTAAAAAAATTATTCGTTGGCGTCAATCAATGCAAATTATTTCTCACCTTGTATCCAACCAATTGTCCATTCTGCTCGTGTTTGGGAGGTGGTGCCCATCGTACGAACGCCGATGTCATATTGATCATCCCAACGTGGACGTTTCCTGGCGCTCCCGATGGAACGTCTTCCAGCGTGGTCGCAATTTTCATGTTGCTCGGCCTCCCCTCGATGGTTTTGTAAAACGGAACGAGGAAAAATTCGTAGCGACTGTATTTCTTCAAGTTTGTCAAAACGTAACTGGTGGCTCCAGCGTTGAGGACGGTGATCATTTGGTACTCCGGTTTCTCCGATACGTCGCGATATCGGATGTACAAGCCATCCACTAAATCCGCTGCTCCTAGGATCTGAAGGATAAAATAAAAATACGGTTAATCTTCGCAGGCAATGAAAAAGACATGGTATAAGAATTTTCAAAGGCCGAGTACTCACGTCCCACATGATCTTCACACTGGTACTGCTCAGTGGTTGCACTTCTCTCAGGTGCAGTATTTCACCGCTCAGTCGATCTCTAGCACGGATCAGCTCAACCTGTGGAATGGAGTGTTGATTTACGCTAGTGGTGTGCGCAACATCCGACAAAGGACCCGGAAGGGACAATCCATGACCGTTCTCCGCTCTGACCAGGAAAACGTAATTCGTGTCCGGCCTTAAGTCGATTACCTGCAAGAAAAATTTTTCAGTGACGTTTACTAAACTCTCTGAATTTGATTTTTTCAAAAAAATGTATTACGTGTTAAAGTTTCAAATTATTATCTCACCGTATACGTGTCCTCGGTCACTCCGGTAGCAGCGACGACCCAACCAGTGTTCAAGTTGCTGCTGAAGTACTCGATGTTGTACCCAATGATCTTGCTCTGGCCCTCGTGTCCCGGACTCCACGTCAAAGTCACGGTATTGCTGGTCGTATTGACGATCCTCGGTTTACTGGGATTCTGTGGTAGAGCCGACATATCCGGAGTACGATGGAACGTCGTGGTCGAGCTGACGCTAAGGGTTGCCGACCACGAGGTGTTCCCAGACTCTGAGGACGCTATGCAAGTGTAGAGTCCCGAGTCGCCATTCTGTAGATCATCGATGAAGAGCGTTCCATTGTTCGCCATTGTGATGCGGCCTCCCAATTGGATCAGAACACCGTCTTTGTGCCACTGCACCCGAGGCATGGGAGTCCCCACGGCTCGACAAGGGAAGCTGGCCATGCTCTTCAGAGGAAGAGTCTGGTTTGCTGGTCCCAGCTCTATGATCGGTGGAGGCACCTCTTCCACCGAGATCACCTGTTCGAAGGACGCATGGATGAGTTCGAGATCTTGGGTAAAGTCTACAGCTACGGTCAAGATGATTCGAAGACGTACCTGAAGGAACACCCTGGCGATGCTCGATCCTGCTTCGCTGACCGCGCTGCAGGCCAGGTGACCCTCGTCCTTCCGGTGCACCTCCTTGACGTGCAGACTCCCGTCTTCTTTCACCGTGTAGCGACCTTGGTACACGTTTCCACGAAGCATCATTTCCTGGGCGCCTTCTCTCGTCCAGTACATTAATGGCTTCGGTGCCCCACGAGCGGCGCAGGCGAAGGAGACGTCCGACCCTGTGCTGACCGCCTCGTCTTTGGGGAAATGTGCGAAGACAGGACGTGCTGGGGAGGAAATAGAAACGGATGAAATCATTTAAGAGCCACGACGTCGAGTACACGTCGGACAGAGATTGCTATCGTTCCATGCTTACAATGAACCGTCAGAGTGGCACTGGCAGAAATGGTCCCCACGCCGTTTGCGGCATCGCAGATGTACGTGCCCTGGTCCTGAGTCATTACCCTGTCGATCCTCAGACTCTTGTCATCCATGATGTGAGCTCGACCCACCGGCATCTTCCCGTCATTCCGCCGCCACAAAATTTCCGGTGGCGGATCACCGCCGACCCGACATGCGAATTCCGCCGTCTCCTCCGTGCGGATCGTCTGGTTCGACGGCATCGCCATGAAGTATGGTTTCACTGAAAGGATAATACGGAGAAAAATTTTATAAATATTCTTGCGTCTTGATATAGATAGAGTGAACTTTACGCAATGCCTTAAGTACCTAGAAAACCCATCCAATAGTCCCTCAAACTCACCGTGAACCGTCAACGTCGCCACTGCGCTTTCTCTGACGCCGACCATGTTTTGGGCGACGCATTGGTACTTTCCTTGATCCGTCTGCCTGACGTCCGATATCATCAGATTGCCTCCGTCCACCAGAGTGATCCTGAAAGATGACCGATTTTAAGATAACGCGAACAGGACCGAATTCTTCCTGCGAGTTGAAATTCTCAGGACGCGGCGAGGGAGTCTCCGCAATGTCGGCCGATCTAGTAATTCTCTAAGGAATTTAAACGCAATTCGAGGCCGCGCTTCGGCACGCGGGGTGGCCAGGAACGAGAAGGGTAGAATCAATAGCTTCTCGATTGTGTCCTCTAATTTATAGTATCAATTAATTTCCGCAGCGGTGCGCGGCTCCCAGGAGCCGCCCAATGGCCGCGCCGATGCGCCCGGATTTAATTTCTATTACTAGCTCTAATTTATTACCCGGCATTCTAAGTGGGGGGCGATCGATTAAAACAAAGGAAGAAACTGCCAGGGAAAAGATGAGGCCCGGAAGTCCCGGGGGAGACCCTCAGGGACGACGGAAAGGCGCGGAGTCAGATTAAACTTTAATTGCGTTGATCCATTGAGATTCAAGGGAGGCTGGGAGAAAATGCACCCTGGAAGAGGACGACTTCGAGACGGGTCCTGTGCCGGGGGCCATCGGTGGCTGATAAATGGACAAATTCCCAAAGTTTGAGGGGTCCCCCGAGTTACTTCGCAATTGACATCGTGAATCAAAAATTAAGCTGCAGAACTTCGGCGAAATATCTCGGATGGGCGAAGAAATGATTTTCTACCCTGGGGATAAAAAAGAAAAATTGGTTAACTCAAAGAAATATGTATTGCTACAACAAAATTCATTTAAATCAACAGTAAGATTTTTCTTCTCGACAAAATAATTGTTTCTTGCAATTATATATATGTTTCGGGTAACAATATAAATTTGTTTTAGTTAACTAATATTTTTTTTCTTAACGTGGGTGCCTCTTATTCATCGGCAGTGCGTGCAGTAAATTTCCTTCAGGCGAGAAACTGTTGAAGAATCGATCGACGAGGAGGGTCGAAGATCGGCCAGGAAGTCCGCTGAGGAAGAACAAATGCTTTGCATCGAGGAGGTAGAAAAAAATATAGCGTGCACCGGGAGAGGAAGAGGGAATGAGTTGACTTTTTCATCCGCTGGACAGAGATTCCGGAGCACCCAGGAAACCTATTAGCAAATTAAACGAACGGGCTTTCACGTTGACAAAGGAAGCTGGATTCCCTTCTGCTTGGACGTTCCTACAGGCTTTCCATGGGCGCTTCTTTTGTACGTTCGAACCTTCGTTTCTTTCTGGGTCCAGACTGAGGATCGAGTTGAAAGTCGACTCTCCTGTCGATCCACCATTTGGAAGAGGGCCAGTGACCTCGGCTCCACGAGATCGTGTATACACGCAGAAAAATAGATCTGCACCGTAATTAACAGCAGAGTGCCATTTTTTAACGTGTCAGGATAATTCTCAGGTGCTCGCGAGCCACGTGCCAAAATTTCAGACAGATCCTTAAAAAAGAGTGTATTTTTCCAGTCGACTGGAACTTCACCTTAAACGAACCAAGTTTTTTTTTTCCCCCTAAGTGTATGAAGATGCACGTGGGCATTGAAAATTGAAGGTGGAAAGTCGATCGCGGCATAATAAGAGAACAAAGTGGACTTCCTATCGACTCGAGAGATCCAGGCCGGATGGCGACATCCGACATATCGCCTCCGGTCGTATGGGGCCCTCTTCTCGACGGATATCACCAAGGCCCACTTCGTATTTCCCGGTAGGGACGAATCGCCCGATGGAATAACTAGTTCGTCTCCTACGCCGAGCGGACAAAGATAACTCGCCGAGAGTAATGGGAGACATCCTTTAGCGCCATTCTCATGCAAATGCGAGCTAGATTACGAGCGAGACTTCGGATTACTCTCGTTGGCCCCGGCTCCTTAATTCCGCCCTTATTGCCCGTAAAGTCGATCGGCCCTTTCGAGATATCTGTCCCTAATCGTACAAATTTACCCATCTTGAGGAAACGATCGGCTCGGTCTCTCCTTTCTAGTTCTTACCGTTTATTGGCGTCCAGCTCAATCACGTGTCCGTTCTTCTTCCATTGAAGGGTTGGCTCCGGATGACCCCGGGGTGGTCCACACTCCAGAAGAGCGGTCTCACCGGCAGCTACTCTCGTGTTCTGAGGTTCTGCTCGAAACTCGTCTCGAAGCACTGAAACGATAAACGTAGGACGTACCGATTAAAAAAATTCCCGATACTCCCGGAACCTGTTAGGGAGTCTTTCACGAAGAAAAAAAAAAAATCTGTAAAATGTACAGATTTCATCCGTTGAAATAAGGGCAGCGGGATTATTTATTATTAACTGGATTAATCCTTTAATGGGGCAGTTTTTAACGGTATCGGGAACAATTTCTAATGGATAGGCTTGTGTAACTTTAAGGCTCTTAGTTTCCTCCGCGCGTGCTTCTTCAAGGTCTACATGGTAAACGCACGTGGAACCGTTCGAGTTTATCGGCATTTCCGTCGGCTCGGCGTTTCCATTATCATTTATCACTCGCCATTTAGGAAATGCCCCGACGAGGAGGGGTGCGTCCCTTAAGAATCGGACATCCCGGTCGGGATGCATTATGTCGCGCCTTTAATCTGGTCAGTCCGAAGGGTTGGTCACCCCGGGACCCTTCAAAGGCAGCCAGCTCTTCCAAGGACTTCCGAGGGGGTCGTTTCGAATCGCAAGATCTACGGAGGGCGTCTTTAAAGTCTCGCGACAAAGGCGGCCATTCGTTAGGGAATTGCGGGCCTCGGTCAATGGCGAGATTCACGGCTCGAGCTCGTTTCTTCGATCGACCTGGTGCTCGTCGAGAAATTCGTTCCTCTCGGTGGTACCGAGACGTCTGGCAAATATTTATATCTCCTCCCTGACCCGGGAATTATCTCGCTCGATTAATTGCGACCATCGAGGTCGGGATTTCCTGGAAGACTTGCGACAGGCGGCGACTCTTGGGGGTCGCGAACTCCCAACCCTCCAGGTCGTCTTCGAGGAATCGGAGAACCCGAGGGACGTCGCCAATTAAGACGTCGCTATTCACCTCAATTAGGACTTCGGACATTTTCGGCCGACATGAATCGGTTGGCTGGAATCGTTAAATCGTTATTCCGTTCTGCACGTTCCGTCATACGACGCCGCCGTTAAAGACGACGCTGTTTGCCGTATCGTTAAGCCGAACTGCACGTCATAACGCTCTCGCCGCGCACGAGGGTCGATACTTTCGAGTCTTATCGCGGTAATTGCTCGTCGGGAACGACGTGCCGGGATTTATCCCGATCTGCCCTATCGAGATCGATTAGGCGTGCACGCATTGACTTGCGACGAGCCGGGAATTCCAATTAGATGCGAAAATCGTGGCGTCGAAGAACTCCAGGCCCCAGGAGTCGAAATTTAGGCCCTTCTTTAAGGTGATACAAAAAAATCATTTTATGTACGAATACGTCAAAATATCCATAAAACTTTTCTGAATTATTTTTTTTTCTCAGTGTATGTTTCTCAGTCTTTTTTTTTCTCGGGACGAAAATCGCTACTCGGGCATTGAAATCTCCAAATGGACGGGGAGATGCTTAGCCGAGTTTCGGCCTCGGTTCCATGGCGTGCAGCCAGAGTCGCCTTTAAATTCTTCTCAACTGCAATTAACGGGCGGTACGCCGACGAAAGGAAAGCACTGATACGCTATCCGCGAGCAGCGCTAACGATCGTGAAATAATTATGATCGGGCACGAGCATGAAGCAAGGATTCGGGCACGGAGCTCGAGATCGAGCCGGCGAACACGCGACTCGGTTCTAATCTCCATTGCTGGAAGGTAACACGCGTTATTTCGATAGCGTCTGTCGGCGGAAGTGCCTTGGCGTGCTCGGAATATCTCCGCGATCGATCCTGCCCCTGACACCTCCCGGTTTCTTCTACTCGGAGATTCACGTCTCGCCACTTTGCCAGTCCAGGAACGAACTCGCCGAGTAATTATCGCCGAGGCAATTATCGATGTCACTCGTCACCGTCGCGAGTCACTTCCGGCTCGGAAGACGACGCATCCGTTCCCACATCAGGACCGGCCTTTGACCACTCGCTCGGAAATCGGCGAAAACGATCCTTTTTTAAGGACTCCCTTTTGGAGAAGTGTCATGAATAATTCATCCCCCGGATGGCACTTTCTCATCCCCTTAAAATTGTGACATTCTTTCGGTAATTTCCACGGGATTAATCGCACTAAAATCCTTGATTTCTCGAGTGAATGTCCTCTCGGCCATAATCGTACGTCGTTTTATCGCGCCACGTGCGCTCCCACCATACGTCTCGACAAGTCCTACCGTTTCTGGGTAACCACCGGCCTAGGCCAGGAGTTAACGCAAAAGACATTAATTTTCTCTCGAGGGCGACCTAGTGCAGCGACGCGAACGTCCGCGCTAGGCGCCGGGTCGAGGACTACGTGCGGCCCTTCCGCCGCGGCCAGGTCGGCGGTAGGCCGTGGCGCAATAGATTACGGGGATATCTGGCGCATCCTACATAACCTATAAGTCACGGCGCAGCTAGGACGTGCACGGCCCGTCTAGATTTCGCATTCGCGACACGCGCCCGTTCCGGTGACGGACGGGCTACGCGTGACCGTTTTGCCCGACCGGGCCGCGCGGAAGGGCCGCCCTATTGGGTCACGCCGCTTTATGGATGGCTCCGTTTATAGATAGGCGTGGACCCAGATCCGCGATATCGGATCGCGGCTCGTGCCCATTGTCGAGGCTCGTCTTTTGTTCACCCTGGACCCAGTGCGGGACCGCGGAAGGGCCGATGATTTTGTACCTCCGGTGGACGTTCCGTCGGACTCTGCGAGCCCATCGACCGAGGATGTCTTCCATGGGCGCGAATGCGTCAACGGGATGCGCACAGACTCCGAATGGGAAGCCCATGGTCGATGGACCGGCGACACGTGTCGATCTCCTGTAGTCGAACCAACCCCAGGGATGCACCCCTCGGGGGTGATACCATCATCCATGGATACGGATCTACGACACCGGTCGAACAAACGGTGGACGATTGGCCGAGTCGGTTGGTCATTGTCAAGGATCGGTTCTCTGTTTGTCCCCTGGACAAGGATCTCCGTTTGTCCCCGCCACCAAGTGCGAAAACCGCGCTCGGCCTGAGTTTATGGAGCGGAAACCGTAATGATCTCGGCACGTTCGTATTGTCCATTAACGGCGTTAGGAAATGACCAGGCCACGTCATGGGGGTTTCAATGGCCGAAGCGTTTCGGAGTGGACGGTCGCACGCGATTATCAGATATTCGAGGGCATCTTTCGGGTCGTTTTGGTTGACGTTGGGGATCCAAGCTCGAGAAAGGCGGAATTCAGGAGCTGTGTGGGAGGATCGGTTCTGGGAGCGATCCGTCTTAGTTGGCTGGACGCCGAGGTGGGAAACCGTTTTGCGCGAAAGGTGGAGTCGCTACGTGGGCGTTTCTCGCGAGGGAAATCGGTGATTATCCCCGCGACCGGCGCGGAATTGAGCGGAATACGCTTCTACTTCGCCGCGACCGGTCGACCCGGTCAGGGTGCTCGGGGAACGGCTAACGAGTTTTATCAATAACCTTGGGAGGCGTGCAGGTGCCTGCGTGCACCTCTGGAACTGCATCCAGAGTTGCATCCAGAGTTGCATCTAGAGTTGCATCCAGAGCTGCATCCAAACTTGCCTTCGGAGGCTCCCGTGCGATCGGTCCCGGCCCTTGTCGGATCCGATCGAACTTCACAATCGATCGACTCCGCAATTGGACATCAATGTCGTCGACGCTTCGCTCATCGACGAGACAATTTCGGGTGCAGCAGAAGCTCCTCCGGGAAAATTACGATTTTCTAAAAATATGCGACGCTGCTTCGAGTTGCTCGAATCGGAAATAAAAAAGAACCGAAAATTGTACAATCTGATTGGAACGAATTTTGTTTACTCAATCTGACGTCTCCTTGGACGTATTTGATCGCGGGATTTTTTTATCGTATGTTTTTTAGAGTTAACCAAATTTTTTTCTCAGGGTAATCTCGCAGTCTCCAGGGTCTCCTTCGGTGGAGTCACGAGACTCCGACTTGACATTCACGTTCGAGGGTTCTGGGCGAAATTTCTCGCGGGTCTGGGAATTTATCTCAGCGGCGTCCGCAAATACGTGACTACCGTTGAACAGTGGCAAATAATCCCCAGGGTCGCCCAGACGGAAGGGGCATTTGAATATCCGTCTCGGCTGCGATTATACGTAACCGCAGCTTCATTGACTTTACCCCCAAATTAAATTACAGATTAGATGGTAGGAAATCTGCCTAATGGCGAAACTTCCCGATCGAGGTCAGATTGAGTTTTCTTGCCGTGAAAATGCATTGGAACAACCATCGATCCTTGTTTCGAACATGTCCATCAGGGTCGGCAAAAACCATGATTTATAAAAAAATAAAATAAAAAATCGCTGCCGATTAAAATCAGGATTTTCTTTAATATCTTAATTTTAAATATATTAATAAACTCCTCGGTTAAAAGATTAGGTTAAATCGATATTCTTCAAGAATTGTCATAATATGTTTCCTAAAAGAAAAATCAGCTCAACCCTGGGGTCCATTGCCACCTGTTCACCGAACGTCCCCCAGGGGTGGGTTCCCTCCATTGAATAATTCCCGGGGAAAATATATGAAAATGCGCCCATTTTCCTAGGGTACCATCCTTTCCCTGTTGGCTAATCCAGTCTGGACTCCACTGGGAGATCACCGACGTGCAATTACTGCCATAGGTATTTATATTGACCGACAGGCCGAAGGGTGTCCAGGGAGTCCCCGGGGAACATCCCCTGCTCCTCCACCCTCGTGTACATATTTGCACGCAAGTCGCTCGCCAACCCTCAGGGAAATCCGCAATTCGCAACATTTGTTCGCAGTTAGTGCGTGGGAAGAAGGCAAAACTCGATTTTCGGAGGAAAATTGGGCCGAGGATTCGGTTGTTTATACCGTAATTCGATTCTAAACAATGCGTCCTAACCTACAAATGACACGCGACGTTCGCTGGTGATTAAGGCCCTTCAGGTCTCGTAACTTCGTTTGGCATAAATTCGCCAACCCTTCGCGACGAAGGCCTTTCGCTACGAACGGTTGAATAATCCTGGGAAACCGTTTACACCGACAAAACCGAACGGGCACCTGA